AGTACCCATTTGTGTAATTTATTTATTTGTATTTTTTATTTCTTGATTTACTTTTTTCTATTTAAAGAGAACGGATGACTTTTCTTCCTTTTTGTAAATTTGACAACAAATAAAAATATATTTATTTTTTTTTTTTCAACACTCAAAATTATTTTTGTTTATTTTATTTTAATAACTATTTTTAATTGGTGTTATTTATGTATTTCTTTTTTGTTTATTTTTGTTACATGCAATTATTGCTTGTTAAGTTGCTAAGTTTTTTATTTTTATTTTTTACTGTTGTGGTTTTATTTTGAATGACACTTGAAAAATAGGTATTTTTTATTTTTATTTATTAGTGTTGTTACAACAATTATTTATAGAATGTATTAATTATGTATTTTTGGTCCTGCTGAAAATGAAAAGGATTTTGTTGTTTATTTTAAAGTTGTGTGGATTCGAAATATTTCGATTAATGGAAAAACAAATTTGTTTAAAATTTATTTTTAATTATTCCTCCATTAACTGGTATTTTTTATTTATAACACACAACTACTTTTTCTTTTGGAAATCTTGTCCATTTTACTTGCTTTAAAAAGCAACTATCATCAAACGAATGTCACCGCAAGCAGTCAGGCAGATCTTGCATTTAAACTTGTCACACAAAACCTACACTCATCCATCCACTACCCATGCACACATTCATACACACACACATACACACTATCATTACCCATTTTTACACACTCCTCATCTAACTTGAAAATATAAATTAAAAATTTGCAAATATTTAAAAAAGCTTTCACTTAGATTTGCACTAACAAACATTTATTCTTATAACTTAACAAATTCAAATATTATTAATCTATACAACTTTATTACTAATATTTATTTTCATCGAATGATAATAGCCAGCCGTAGAAAAATATTCTTTCAAGAACAAAAGAGAAATTGAAAAAATGCAAAATCTTTTTTATGTTTTTATCTTATTTAATAGAAATTATGCATATTTTTATATGTTTTTAATTATATTATAATTATAAAACACATTTTGTTAATTATACACTATTTTGCACTTTTTTTCAACAAAAATTTAACTTAATTTAATTTTCTTGTACATATTACGTTTTTTTCTCTCCCTTCTTTCTTCTTTTGTAGACAAATGGCAATGCTTTTTTGTTTCTTTTGTCAATTAATATTTTTCTCATATTTAAAGTGTTGCCATATTTAATAAAGTGATATACCCAGAAAAAATAGATCACAAACAATAATAAGAAAAAACTAAATCTATATTTAAATTCAATTAAATAATTAATTATTTATAAATTGTATAGCCCGTAATTATTGTTATTTTCTTGTGTTATTTATAACACAATTTCACCGTTCACATCAATTTCTTTTCTGCCTAATTCTTGCTTGTTCTTTCTTGTCTACGTCGTCGTCGTACTTCTCTTTACTTTTTTTTTATTCTGCTGACACACACATTCACTCACACATAATTTTCTTTCTTTTTTTAGGTTTTTTTATGTTGCAAATTTTGTCTGATTTATACAAAGAATTTTTACACAACTTTCTATGTTTATTTCATATTACAGTATATTCTTTACGTTTATTTGTTGTTTATTTATTATAGTTTATACTTTTTCTTTGTAAAATTTAACAAAATAAATTTTAAAAAATTTCTTTACCCGAGAGCAGAAAAATTTTCTTCATTTCACACACACACACGAAAAAATGAATGGGTTTGACATGCCACAGTTGTAAAATTTAGTACTATATAAAAAAGGACAATTTTTGAAAATGAACCATAACAAAAAATAATGCATATTCAGCCAGTGTGGCAATATTTTTTATCAAAGGTGTTACAACTACAGCGAATTTTAGTTACCGGCACGAAAAAACACACGTTACGCGACATGGCGACACATCAACTTGTTTAACTCACACAGCATATATAATTGTGAATTTTTCAATAACATGATCAAAAACTTAAGTTGATGTATCGCCAAGGCGCTCTACAAATATTTAAAGTTATCAAACTCCCATGCAAAAATTTTCACAAATTCGACGCAGAAATCATCTCATTCAAATTAAGAATTTTAGTGACCAGTGGGATTTGATGCGTTCGACACACAAACTTGTATATTATTTATTGTAATGATAATCTGCAATGTATATAAAAGGTCGAACTTTTGCCGAGACATTTCAAAATTTTGTAAAAAATCGCTCAGTAGCCAACACTGTTTTGCGCGTAAACTTTAATTTACAATGAATTCTATTTACTTATTACAAATTCATACGGTTGCTTAAAAACAATTATAAGGTAATAAATTACATCCCATTTCTTAAATTTATTAACAATTATTGTATATACATATATATACTAGTTGAGACGTGCCTGGAAAAGGTTTAAAATTGTTTAATCATTCCTTCGCAGTTGTATGACATTCAATTTCGAAATAGATATTAACAAAGATCTGTTGGATATCTTTATAATAATGTAAGTTATTAAGTTTCAATCAGCATTTATTAAAATTTTAATTTTTTAATGTACTTCCAAACAATTGAAATTTTTGTTTTTTTGGTAATTGCATAATCTGCTACTTGTTTTACTTCCGCCTCCCTCATGCAAAGGGTAACCCTCTTCCTTATTGACATACATACAGTGTCTCTCATAATTATTCGAATTTGGGTAAACTATAAAAAGAAACCAAATTTAATAATATATTTTGTGTGCAAAATAAATAAATTAATTTGTTATATTGTCTAGATAGTCCTTATGTTTGATATCACGCCTTTTAAAACTTGAAAAATTTGCATTGATTTAAATCAATTGTGCTTTTTTAAAAAAAAGTCCATGAAATTGCCTCATAAAAGTATACGAATTTTTCCTGTATTTCATATTTGATCATATTATACGCAACACAAATTTTAGAATCGAATGGTTTTTATGCGTAATATTGTTTTAAGGGGTTACTATCCACGGAAAGGATATATTTTTGGCCCATTTGGTCCACAATTTTGCGGAATTTGTACCCTCTTTTCATGTAATATCATTAAAATAGCGATTTTTGGCCATAATTGTAAATTTTTCTCCTTTTTTTCCAGAGATAAAACAAAAATTTGATATTGGGACTTAAAAGACCCTTTGGGGTATCTAAAAATAATATCTTTTGTTACAAGAATCTGTATTTAAACCTTCCAATATAAATTATTCGGATCATTCTTCTTTCGCTAATTCAATATATTGGAACTTAAGTCCATTTTTATAATACTAGGATCAACTATTTTCGGGAAAAGTTTTCTGGTATATATTCTTTTAGATATCAGCTTTTATACATTTTAAGTTTTCAATTTGTTGTGAAAGTGTACAACTCCAAAACATGCCTCGAAGAAACACCATTCAAAATAGTAAAATCATTATTTTTATATACCACTGGACTCCATGCTGCATGGCACGATATCATTATGATCACATCAAAAATGTTGATATGTGTTTAAATATTATTTACTATGATCAAATTGAAACCAAAATTTAGGACTTACAGTGTTATTGTAACGGGCAACATAAGCGTGAAAGTTACGAGTAGTAAAAACTGAAATCTACTATATAGGATGACGTTTTGTTAAGGCATGTTTTGGGGTTGTATACCGCTATAATATATTGAAAATTTAAAATACATTAGTGCCAATATGTACATGAATATACACTAGACAACTTTGTCGAAAAATATCGTCCCTAGAGGTACGAAAAGGGACTTATGATCCAGATAATTCAATTAGAAACTGAAAAACGATACCAAAAATACATCTTGGAACGTTTAAGTACAGATCCTTATAACAAAAAATATTATTTTTAGATACCCTATGGGTTCTATTAAATTCCAATATTAAATTTTAGTTGTATTTCTGGAAAAAGGGTGAAAACATTACAAATATAGCCAAAAATGAAAAGAGGGTACAAATCCCCCAAAATTGTGGACCAAATGGGTCAAAAATATATCCATGCGGTTGATAGTAACCCCTTAAAGCCATATTAAGCATAAAACCATGCGATTCTAAAATTTGTGTATCGTATAATATGATCAAATATGAAATACAGGAAAAATTCGCATACTTTTGTGAAGTAGTTTCATGGACTTTTTTTAAAAAAGCACAACTAATTTAAGTAAATGTAAAGTTTCCAATTTTTAAGGGGCGTGATATCAAAACTAAGGACTATCTAGACAATATAACAAATTTATTTATTTATTTTCCACACAAAATATATTATTAAATTTGGTTTCTTTTCATAGTTTACATAAATTCGAATACTTATGAGAGACACTGTATGTATGTATGTATTTCATCATAGCTTAATAAGAGTTTAAATGAGCATATAACAGGTTTATTAATTTTTTTATTATTAATTTTTTTTTTTTGGAAATGTATCAAGATTTTGCAGAAGTCAAAGTTGCTATCAAATTGTGGACAATTGCTGGAAGGAAAGGTAACACATTCTTAATATTTTTCTTAGAATTTGAAAAAACACATACAATAGTACCTGTCGATTCACTGTATCGCCATATTCCCATCTTGTTTTGAAGTGCTAATATTGAACAGAATTATACAACATTTTAAGTAATTTTAGCTCGGCATTTCACGATTTGAGATAAATCTTATAAGAAAACATTAATATGAAACCTTCCAACCAATATGCAAGAAAATACATAATACTGCAGGTTCCGACCATTATCGAGGACCCACTGTTATATAAAATTATTTTAAAAAATCCCCAATTTGGAGACAAATCCCTACATAGGTACTAATTATAATTTCTTATTAATATAACAATATCATAGTAAAAATAGGATTAATTTCATTTTTTGCACAAAACAAAATTCATAAAATTTTAAATACCTAGTGTGTAAACTGCCTTTCTATATTTCACATATTGTGAAATATGCATAATGTATTATATTTTATACTGAAGAGTAGAAACCATTTTTGATCGAGTTTTTCCATATATGCAAAGACAAGTATTTTTTTTTTTGCTTTATTAATAAAATCTTAAATATTTATAAATTACAAGTTTTCTATGTTAATTACATGAAATTACGCACAGTAAAAAAATTAGTTTGTTAATTGCAACATTTAAATTGAAATTATATTAATTTTTTCTCCAAAAACAAGAAATAAATAAAAAAAAAACCTAAAACTATTTACAAGAATTCTTCACACCAATCGTTGAGACAGTTGTAGCAATCGGAAGCTTGTTTGGAACTAGCATTACATGTATCTTTCATCCATTCCTTAAAAAGTTCTTCGTCTTTTTTCAAGACTAAATATTGACCCAGCACTGTATAAGCCTGTAAGAAAACGATAAAACACGGTTAGATTCAAATATTATGTACAGTTTTAGAGTCATTGACAAAAAATATTTCATCATTTGTCAAGATCAAATACACACACTAACACATTGGTACAGCATTCAATTACCATATACAAACAAATAGCAACTACACATTTCCTCAATTGTGTTTTGTATGGAATTGGCAAGTTGTGTTAATTAAATATTCTATTTATTATACTAGAACTTACTTTATCAAAACCAGCTTCTATTAAACGTCCACCTAAAGTTTCTCCTATGCCCGCCAGATCCGTGACAGGTTTATCGCTCATAGGTTCGGCGACGAAATTTCTGTATTTTTGAGATGTGCCCGACATGTTTCTGTTGAATTAATTACTCAATATATAATTCTTCAATTGTTTCCAAGACGTTGGTTTTGTGTAAAGTTTTTGAGTTGTAATATTTTATTTCACAAAATTCCCTTTGAGAATGACGCACTTTTTTCTTGCACAAATAATAGCTGCTTGTTTATGCACAGATGTCTAAAATGGAAGTAAAATGATGCTTAAACTATCAGAGTTGTTTTTAATAAGTACTTACGTTTGTTTACATACGATACAAGCAACCGGCGGCTAATTGAGCAGCTGGTAACTTTTCACGAGCCACGCCGCCGCCGAAGGTATCGGCTTGTCAGCGGCTAATTTCGCACCCGATTTCTCGGCTGAGTCGAATTTTTTAGAGTAATTTAATTTATGTAATAAAATAAAAACGACTTAGCCGTTTTATTTTGAGCCGAAAAATAACGGTGTAAATCCGATAAGCCCCCGGTGCCTATAAATGTTACCCATTAGCCGTGAAAAAAAGTGATCGTCTTGCATCTCTGTTCACCAGGGATGGAAATGAGATTTTTTTCAGTATTTAAAAATGTTTAAAGCGTCAAATATTACCACAGTAATAGGCTTCCATAGCTGAAACAAAAAGTTGTATTTTTAAATTTTTGTTTTTTGTGAAGTCGACATTATGTTTTTGAAAAGTCGACGTTTCGACTGTGAGTTTTATGAAGTTTCCAAATGGAAGAATTTTGGAAAGTTTTTAAATATTTTTTTAATTAAATAAACAATTTTTCGTATCGACTTCTTCCGATTGTTTTTCGACTTTTTCCAAAAGGAAGAATTTTGGAATGTTTTTAAATATTTTTTTAATTAAATAAAAATTATTTAACTCAAATTATTTTAAATTTTTGGAAAACCCCTTCAAATTTCAATATTTTGATTTTTTCGACTTATGCCGACTAATAAAACAACAAAAATTTTTTTTATTAAAAAAAATATAATTTAGTTCACATATTATTTTATTATAAATTCGTTTGGATTATAATTTGTTAACTAAAATTACAAAAATTATTTAAAAATTATCAAAAATGTTTGCGTTAATTACTAAATTTATATTTCACAATTTATGTAATTTAATTTTCTTTAATTTATTTTGCATTATACTAAAATATTTCGTATATATTACGAAACAATTTCGTGTTGCAAAACAATGATGCATTCGTACGGCATTTTCGAAAATATTAGGCATGGATTATTTTCAGTGTATTTACAATTTCAGTTTCTGCAAGGGTTCTAATCGTTTTTTTTTTTTAAATTCAATGTCGTAATAGTAAAAATTTTCTTAGCCTATTTCACAGTGGTAGGTTCATTCATTAACAGTTCTATGTTATCAACATTGTAAAATGCGATTTGGCACCCTACCGTGAGTATTGTAACAAATTCTTCAAGTTTATTGATAAGTGCGTTGGTTTATTCGAAAGCAATTACATTTTTTAAATACAAAAGAATTGGCTTATTTGAAATTAAAGTTAGTGTTTAAAATAGAATTGACAATTAAAGTCGAAAACGGTACAAATAAATTAAGAAAATAAATATAATTTAACATTAAGGCAAATCAAAATCTTAAATATCTTTAAAAATGTGTAAAATAGTAACATTTATTATACAACTGCTGCTAATGGACATTGTTTTAAACGGTAAGTTTAGTTTAAATGCATAAATATGTATATAGTTTAAGTATTATTTTATAAAAACCAGGATCTATTTAGTTTAGTCAACTCTAACAGAGACTGACTAATAAATCATTGTGTGTTGAATGATACATACAGTGTCTCTCATAATTATTCGAATTTGGGTAAACTATAAAAAGAAACCAAATTTAATAATATATTTTGTGTGCAAAATAAATAAATTAATTTGTTATATTGTCTAGATAGTCCTTATATTTGATATCACGCTTTTTAAAACTTGAAAAATTTGTATTGACTTAAATTAATTGTGCTTTTTTAAAAAAAGTCCATGAAATTGCCTCACAAAAGTATACGAATTTTTCCTGTATTTCATATTTGATCATATTATACGCAACACAAATTTTAGAATCGAATGGTTTTTATGCGTAATATTGTTTTAAGGGGTTACTATCCACGGAAAGGATATATTTTTGGCCCATTTGGTCCACAATTTTGGGGAATTTGTACCCTTTGATATTGGGACTCAAAAGACCCCTCGGGGTATCTAAAAATAATATATTTTGTTACAAGAATCTGTATTTAAACGTTCCAAGATAAATTATTCGGATCATTCTTCTTTCGCTAATTCAATATATTGGAACTTAAGTCCATTTTTATAATACTAGGATCAACTATTTTCGGGGAAAGTTTTCTGGTATATATTCTTTTAGATATCAGCTTTTATACATTTTAAGTTTTCAATGTGTTGTGGAAGTGTACAACTCCAAAACATGCCTCGAAGAAACACCATTCAAAATAGTAAAATCATTATTTTTATATACCAATGGCCTCCATGCTGCATGGCACGATATCATTATGATCACATCAAAAATGTTGATATGTGTTTAAATATTATTTACTATGATCAAATTAAAACCAAAATTTAGGACTTACAGTGTTATTGTAACGGGCAACATAAGCGTGAAAGTTACGAGTAGTAAAAACTGAAATCTACTATATAGGATGACGTTTTGTTAAGGCATGTTTTGGGGTTGTATACCGCTATAATATATTGAAAATTTAAAATACATTAGTGCCAATATGTACATGAATATACACTAGACAACTTTGTCGGAAAATATCGTCCCTAGAGGTACGAAAAGGGACTTATGATCCAGATAATTCAATTAGAAACTGCAAAACGATAGCAAAAATACATCTTGGAACGTTTAAGTACAGATCCTTATAACAAAAAATATTATTTTTAGATACCCTATGGTTTCTATTTAATTCCAATATTAAATTTTTATAAATTACAAATATAGCCAAAAATCGCCATTTTAATGATATTACATGAAAAGAGGGTACAAATCCCCCAAAATTGTGGACCAAATGGGTCAAAAATATATCCATGCGGTTGATAGTAACCCCTTAAAACCATATTAAGCATAAAACCATGCGATTCTAAAATGTGTGTATCATATAATATGATCAAATATGAAATACAGGAAAAATTCGCATACTTTTGTGAAGTAGTTTCATGGACTTTTTTTAAAAAAAGCATAACTAATTTAAGTAAATGTAAAGTTTTCAAGTTTTAAGGGGCGTGATATCAAAACTAAAGACTATCTAGACAATATAACAATTTATTTATTTATTTCCCACACAAAATATATTATTAAATTTGGTTTCTTTTCATAGTTTACCTAAATTCGAATACTTATGAGAGACACTGTATGTACATAAATAATATAATCCCTTATCATAAATTTTCCAGTTACAATACTGACCTAATTTTAATTTACATTAAGTTTAAAACCTTAATGTAGCTTTCAATTAAATTAATATTGTAGCATTAATCATTAAACACCACTAATTGAATAATTAATCATCTTTGTGAAACAAACCAGTTTCGTATAAAGATGTTGTTCTCATTGAGTTATTGCAAAAAAGGACTTAATAATCCAATCATAAAAAAGTATTTGTAGTTTATGTGAAAAGAGTGAAAATAAAAAAAAAGTTTTTTTGAAGTTGTTTCGCCATAATTTAACATTCTACAGAACATTCTTCTAAAGACATTCAATAAAGCAAGAAGTACAATTTCTTAAAAAAAGAAAGTAGTGAAAATAAAGTTAAATTCATATAAGAAAAGTGATTTGCGAATTAAAAAAATATAATTTTGAAAATTATTGCACAAAAAGTATTAAAAAACTAGTAAATATTAAAGAGTTTGGTTTACTAAACGGGGATTTGTAATTAAGGCATTATTCAAAGACTTAAAAAAGTACCAAATGTAATAAATTTGTTAAAAATAAAGTACAATTTTATAAGTTTTGAAGTTTTAAAAAGTCAAGAAAATTCTATTTTCTTTCAAACCCGATTCCATACATCGATGTCCCCACTCAAGTTCCGAAAACAATGATTCATTTTTAAAACCTTCACTTTCGTGAGAATGGTATATAAAAGTTTGTCATTCCGCTTGTAATTCTATAATATAATTTTCCGAACTTATAAAGTATATATGTATGTACATATGCATATTCCGAGTCCTTACGGATAGCGGATTCGATTAAGAAATGTGCGTCAATATGTATGTTGAAATTAATTTTCAGAAGACCTAACCTGTAATTTTGCGAGATTCAAATCTTTAATATATTATTAGATATACTTTCCAGAAGTTTCCTATTTAAAAAGAGCAAAATTGGTCCATAAATAATGGAGGTATAAGAACAATTCCGTAACAACCCATAACCCATGAGTTTAAACTCATTCTTGATTAGAAATTTCTATACTAATATGTTTGCGACACTTTTACGGGTCCATTATTTGTTTATTTCAAAATTTATAAAATGCAAATTTCTATAAATATATCGAAGCATCTTGAATTCCATTTTTAGAAATTCCAAATTGAAATAATAGTAAATATTGAAATAAATTCAAAATAATTATGGCTGGCATTACCTCAGCTCACTGTTTGTGTAATATCTTCAGTCCTTGTCGCAATGAATTATCTTCAACATTTGTATTGATCCAATGGCTAATAGGAGGAGTTTCAACAATATTAAATTTTGTAAAACCGGTTATGCAGTTGTGTAATGAAAAACTGAACCATTTTAAAGTGCTTTCAAATTAAATTATTTTTAATTCCTTTACATATTCTAATAAAAGTGGGCATACGAGCACAAGTGGAATTAAATGAAGAAGATTACAATGATACTTGGATGTATATGCCCGATGGAGATGGTAAACCACAGGTCGCCTATTTAGTAGAACCACCGCCCGAGGATAATCGCAATGAAGTACCAAACTAGTACAATTTGAATATTATGGCGGGTAGGAAAAGTATATAGCAATAAATCGATCTAACTTTATAAATAATTTTTTCTTTCCTATTAGCTCCAATCCTGATACCCCAGTAATAAACACCGTTCCTTTGGAAGACAATGAAGTCTTTTCTCATTTACGTGCCAAACGTGATAGTTGGGAGGAAATGGCTGAGAAATTTAATCCTAAATTGGATACGAAAATTTTAGTACACGGCTGGAAATCAAGCACCCAAAGTAATTCTATACAATCTATTAGAGGAGCCTACATGCAAAAGGGTCATATTAATGTTTTCGGTAGGATTAGCAAATATCGGATAGATTTTATAAAAAATAAATTTAAAATATTCAAAACAATTTTAGCTATAAATTGGAGAGATCAGGCAGATAATATTTATTATTTAAGACCTGCACGTTATACGGTGCAAGTAGGTAGAGCTGTGGCTAAACTTATTGATTTACTAGTGGAGGAGAAAGGTGCCGATCCTATGCGTATTCATCTTATAGGTCATAGTTTGGGTTCACATATTATGGGCTATGCTGGTTCTTATACTAAATATCGTGTGGGAAGAATTACTGGTTTGTAAAGTAAATATTTCTAAAAAAATCTTTTTAAACAAAATATGTCATTTCCGATAGGTTTGGATCCCGCTCGTCCTGCTTTTGAGGACTGCATTGGTCCTGAAAATCATTTAGATCGTACTGATGCCGAATTTGTTGATGTCATACACAGTTGTGCTGGCTTTTTGGGCTTTAAAAATCCCATAGGTCATGTCGATTTTTATCCTAACGGCGGCCATCCTCCCCAACCCGGTTGCACTGAATTAAGTCAAATCTTTAGTAAGTAGAAAATTCTTTAAAAATTTCAAATCTTTGAAAGAAATGGACATTTTAACAACAAATTTTAGCTGGTTGCAGTCATGGTAGATCATATGAATACTATGCTGAATCGATTAATAGTGAAAAAGGTTTTTATGCCACCCCTTGTACTTCCCTCTTTGATATTAAAGGTGAAAATTGTACTGGCACTAAAATATTAATGGGTGATCCTGTACCTAAAACAGCCGAAGGAATTTATTACTTAAAAACCGCCAATAAACCAGCATTTGCTCTGGGCATGGAATAATCTTTGTTATTGCAAATTATTTTTAAGATTTATAAAAATCGTGTTTAGTTATAGATCGGTAAAACGAACTGGTATATTATAATCCATACTGGAAAACTTTTTTTTATAAAGAAGAAAGTGTTTTCGTATATTTTTAGATATAACGATCGAAATCTATATAAAATTATATCAAGATTTCGTTTGATATTTAATTTCATTCAATCACTTTGCCGAACTATGAATGTTTATTTTAATTTAATTATTAAGTTTTTTATGACTTTATTTCATTATTTTGTTTAATAAAAATGTTCTTTTGTGTGTAAAAAAAGTCGTAAAAACAAATTCCATATTTAGTCCAAAAAAAGTATTTAAGGTACGGCATAGACGAAAAAGCGAAGATAGTGCAATTGTCTTGATTTTTCGAATTCTTTGTTTTGAAGTCGACATTCGTATTATTACGTCTTAAATATGTGAAAACAAAAGTATAAAGAATTAATTCTTGTGAAACTTTTTTTAAACGATTTAGCAAATACTATTACGAATCTCCTAAAAGCTATTGAGATTCTCAAAAATATTAAATATGTACTGTAATTGGACGCCTTGAAAATCTTTTTTTTAAATTATTATGTTTATAATTACTTTATTTCTTCTCTTGTTTAATAAAAAATAATATGTTGGTTGTAAAAAAAAGTTGATACAAAACAATTTAAATACATAATTAATCGGAAGAGACCGACTTTGAAAAATAAATACTTGTAGTTAAATGTATTAAGGGATCTGGATATTCGTTTTAAAAAATTACCATTAATTCGAGTGTTTTTTATGTTGGGACTTAACACAATCTAAACTAAAATTAAATTATCCCTGTCAAATGAAAAAACAAAAAAGATGGCAAGTTTTGGAATAATCAAAGCTTAAGGTATAACATCGGTTCTTCTTCTTATGATATTACTGCTAGAACGTCTATGTTCACTGTTAATCACATCCTCTGGTCTAGGTTTTATTTCGTAATGCATAAAACCATCAACATCATCCAATTCCTTAGAGGAGAATTTTGCCAACATAGTACCTCGTCCAGCATAGGGCGGTACATATTTGAATGTAGAAGCAGCCGTGCCACCAACTGGTATTTCAGCAATCTGTTTAACAAAAACTACTATACAATTTTTTTGGAATTTAAAAAATGTTCTTGAAACATACCTTAAATCTCAAAGGTTTATCTATACCAGGACCTTCTATATAAAAAATACCCTTTTTCACCGGTATGGGTAAGGGATTGGTTAAACGCACTATAACATCTACAGGCTGTTGGGATACTATATCGCCTTGGAAAGTGAACTTAATATCAGGTTTACGTACACGGAAATCATCTTGAGCATAGTATTCATAATCGGTGTTTTTGACAACAGCAGAGCAGGAAATATTAAAAGAGGCCTAAGAATAAAAGAATAGTAAAGAATATTACACATTTTTATGAAAATTAGTTATTTCTCACCTGTGTGCTCAATTTCTTGAAATACTCCTCAAATATTACTTCCATGCGCACATATTCCGTTTCTCCCGGTTGAATTTCTACCTCAAATCCCATAGACTTGACCTCTTCGTTATTAATACCAGTATACAAAACTGTATCGCAATTCAATTGACCGGTGGCCGTGTGTGCTTTGTCTTTCGATTTATTTGTAATACTAACAACCACGGTGAAATTTTCACCAATTTTAATGTCATCTCTTAATAGCATATCGAATTCGACCTCATTGAAAGTATCGTTCAAATAATAACGACTGAAAGCATGACGGGATTGTTTTAAAGCTTTCAGCATAATATTGCGTTCTTCATCGGTTTTCTCTTCGAATTTATAGGAGCTAGTAACATCTTCACGTTCCCATTTTAGCACTGCTTTAGTACTTATTAGATGTCCTATGGCTAGGGTATCTTTACGCAACATTTTTATGGGTTGGAAGGGACCATTGTAACGCCAGTACACCTTATCGGCATTAACTTCAGAGAATACAAAACCGCAGTCGAATGGTCTTAGGATTTCACCATGTTTTACTGCAGCCACGGAGGCAGGGCCGACTCGGTACATGTTATCAGAGGCCTCTTGTGGAGTAGCATCCACTGCCTGCCAGCCATCATATGATATACCATTTTGTCCAACTCCTAGATCGGGACGTGTCATCCAGACTTCATTCCAAACATGATAGTTCCAAATCGAGTCAGTAGTTTCAGCATCCATTTTTTTATTATTCTGATCAATAAATATGTCCACCGTCAAGGAGGCTTGGGTATCATGAGCAGATGAGTAGCAGGTTATTATACGTGAAGGTATGCCTAGAGCCCTTGCTATGGTAGTGAGAACACCAGAGAAATTCCAACATTGTCCATATTTTACAGGCTTTTGAGTTTTATAAAACTGTTGCAAGATTTCGGTAGAACCCATCCATTTGGTGGGTGCAATGCCACCAGAAAAATCGTCAGTCCAATTGCCCAATATAACACCATCATCATCCACGGAATTAACGGCAGCCGATAACGCTCTTGCCACACGCACGGGATCTCCCCTATAAGCAGCCGGCACACGTCCCACAGTGCCTAATAATTTCAAAGAACATTCCAAAACATGTCTTTCAAACTGCCCCAGTTTCCATACCGAAGGTCTTAGACGATTATAGGAACCACGCCATATAAGTGTAGTATCATGCATTACATATTCCTTACGTTCATCACGATCTGCGAGATAGACTTGATCATCCGGACACCAGGGATTAAAAAGCACATAAATGGGCACTGGCATGGTAAATGACTTAGAACCATCTCCCAACAATTTGGTATCAATATCTAATTTCCATTCCGTAACAGGACATGTTACAGCCGGTTTGATTAGCACTGTTAATGTACTACCCTCATGTTCCTCTATACCAGCACCCCATTCCAAAGGATCACCCAAGAAATCAATACCGTCCCTGGGTACTATACCTACTAAAGTACCATGTCCAGGACTAGGTTTTTTCTCATCAGCCACAGTGAAAATAAAACTTACGGCATCACGACTAGGACTAAAGGGACGATTAAAATTCAAGGTTAATCTAAATGGTTCACCACGTCGAACAATGAGTGCGTCTTTGGCAGCATAAAAATGATCTGTATGATGTTCATTATGATTATCTTCGCGGTGTAATTCCACAGTGACCACTTTTAAAATTGCATCACTTGATTCGTCTATAATAAAAACGTAAAACAAGTTAACAACATTGTTTGTGGTAGTGATTATTTCTATAAAGTATCGTTCAAAACCTATTACTTAGCTTTCGAACAATACTGTATTTTCAAACTTAAATAAATTATATAAAATTGCATCTTTATTATTATTGTTTACAATAAAAGTCAAACTTTTTATATTGGGCCAAATGACACGTATTTAAAGCCCACATTCAAAATGTACATATTTAATAGGTGTTGGTGACATGTATTATAGTTTTTGATAAATATTTTGATTTATGACAGTTATTTGTATATTTTTTAAAATGTATTACTTAAAAACCCAATAATTTAATGAAAGGTGAATAGATTCTGTATTTTTTGTAATAAATATTATTTAATTTAAATATATTTAAAAAAACTTTTTTACAAATGTAACCATAAACATTTAAAACAACCCTCGTATAAGGCCATAAATTCTGTTTACTTTATTATTCTTTAATAATACATATTTTTTATGGTTTAAACTATAAAAACATATTTCTTGTATGTTTTTGTTATAATACAATTAGTGAAAATCGATCACTTTAATTTTAAAATAAATAAAAATTGAAATAAAAAATATTTCTTTTAAAATAAACATATTTTGTGGAAATACATTTTGTATATGTTTTTAAATTTCATTTTAACAAAAAGATATAAGTTTGTTTAACGATGACCTCATGCTTTACGGATGCAAATTCTATTTTTGTTTATTAATTGTCAAGTATTCGAATCAATTTATCCCAATACACTTTGAAATAAAATAAAAATGCCCAATCATTTAACCACACAGTTTTATGCCTTACATTTTTAATCAAATTACAGCCATAGATACAATTTACTAATTGCTAGATGAAATAAGAACATAAATATTAAGTATTGTGATTCAATTGTTACAAATTAGCAAATGTCTATAAATAAAGATACATACATATGTACATATCTACATATGTACATACATACATATGTATGTATTTATTTGTTATTATTATTAATAATTTGCATTTATGAAGAAAATGTAGTTCAAGTTGTTTGAACTTCAATCAAAGATTTTCAATATGTATCATGAAATGTTTAATTAACAAATTTGTTTTTGTACATATGTGTAATTATGGATATTTGACCTTTTTGCGATAAATCATTTTAAAAAAGTATTCATTGATTATGTCTCAATGTTGGAAAGAACATTTCACCAATAAAATTTGGAGAATTTAGATATAAACCCCACGTTTCTATTGTTAAGCAAATTTAATTGTTAAAATAAAAAAGACAAAAATCAACCAAAATTTTATAGTCATTAGAATATGTTGAAGATAGTTGTTTATATTCAGAAACTTTAACAGATTAAGGCCCATTATCTCAACGTCCGGTTATCGTTTAACGGACCGGTTAAATTAAGACATTGAGGTAATGGGGGTAAAAATAATCCAATATAAAGTTTGTACTAATCATACATATACATATAACAACACTAGTTTCCAGGAAGAAGTTCCATCAATAACGGAATGTCTTAATTGGCTTTAGAATAAATATGGCGCCAATAACTGTTTACCGACAGCTAGAAGTCTATTAGGGCGATATTGGATTGTAAGATTGATTTAAGCGAACACTCTCACAGAGTTAAGCATTGCATCATATGGACACCGACAGCGACTTTAAAGGGAAGAGAACTCAAGTTAGTCACCTTAACGAACGCCAAACTATTCGACTCAACGAGGATGAAATGTATAATATGGGCGAGAGAATTCCATAAGGCCTTTTGGAATAATGAAACGATGGTTAGAACCACAAAGATTCAATAGAGTGACCCTAACGAGAGCAGGAAAGTCTACTCAGTCTGAGATTAGTATAATGATAAGTATTTAAAGTGGACACACAGGATTATGGACACAACTATATACAATTGAATGTCCCGATTCAGACGAATGTAGAGCTTATGGTGAGGACAGTAAAACTCTGTAGCTTTCTTTATCATTGTCAGACTTTCGTCGAAATTAGATTAAAATATCTTGGGACTGATATTATTCCGAATATAACAACTCTCACGAACACTGTTTGCAAAATTCTTAGGAATTTCGTCCAGGAAACTGAATTTCTGAATATCGGACGTTAACACCTTCATTGATCATAGTGATCATAAGGTTTTTACCAAACTTAATATGAAAAGGAGCGCACAACAGGCCAGATAGTGGCCAAGGTGTATTTCATCAGATTTGATGTTGTGTACATCCTTCTAACAAAATGTTAAAGGAATTAAAGATTCAATTCACTGATCTTATTATTTAGATATTTACTTCAAGATTTTTCTGATTTAAAATTCGCCAAATTTAATACTCTCAACTAGTTTTATCTCTTTATAAAATTAATCTTATTTTTAGTGAAAAAGTTAATGGTTTAACCACAATTTTCCATAAAATCTGAACTTAAATTTATCATTAACTATTGCTATTTTAATTACTTTTGTTTTTACATATAATTTAAGTGGAAACAATATATTATGCAATTGCAATTAAGACCTACAGTCAAAATTATTTAATTTTTGGTTCATTCTAGAGACAGTTTTTAATTTCAAGATCAGAAATTAACTTAATCTCTGAATGTTCTATTTGACATACTGGATTATTTTGTTTGTTAGTTTAAGAGGCCAATAGAGGAGAGTTAAACTAAGGTAAACAGCTGATGGAAAAATAGAATTTTTTATGAAAATTACATAAACATTAATCTACTTATTTCGTAACTTTAACTAAAAACCAGTAAGATTTCAAATGTTTAATTTAGTACTTTTATTAAACAAATTTTGAGTAATAATTTGCAATTAATAAGTTGGTGTTTTTATTATTTTTTTGCTAAAAATTTTGTATTTTGTTTTTAACATAATTAATATTTTAATCTTTATTTCATGTTTTCTTATACTTTAAAATATTGCCTTTCTACCAAAACAAGTAAAATTTATTAAAATACAGTAGAAAGAAATTCGTAGGCGTGGGAATTGAATTCTCTTTTAGTTTTGCCAAAAAATATACATTCATATTAAGAAAACAATTAAAAGATAAGATTTATACTAAAAAAGATGACGTCTCCAGTGAGACAAGTGTTTTTTATGTGTGCGCTAGAAGGACGTAGAACTTAAGAGCTTAAAGATGATTCATGATCAGTTATTCTTAAATGGCGCCTTCAATTAGATACATATGTTCTATGTATGTGTGAACGCGGAAGTGCAGGGCATCACTAATTATTTGGTATTGAAAATCGGTAAAATTTAACAAAATAACACAATTCAACAAATTTTTAATACAGAGACCAAAGTATCCATCTCATTAGATTTTCCAGATAAAGTTTGAAATCCGTTGTTGGCAATATTTTTTTCTATAAAAATACCTTTTGAATTGTTTAAAAATCTTTTGTATTTGCTGAGTTATCGCAAATAATTAGAGGGTTTTCAAAGTTAAAGTCTAGATATCTCGAAAAAAGAAGAAGATATAAGAATGGTTTAACCTTTATTTTAAAGCCGATAGATTGGACTTTGAAATGACATAACAGATTTTATAAATAATGGTATCTGCGCGCTTAAAATCTTTGAAATTTGTACGATCATAGCAAAATGTCCGCACATTTGTTAAATGTCTGTCTTAAACCCGCAAATTCATTAATTGCATTATAATGTATTTTGTAGGAAATGTTAATGACTTTAAAGTTATTATTTAAATATTGTTTTTCTAAAAATGTCTATGTTTATTAATATTTAAATTAAATTTATTAAATTTAAAGATTTCAATTAACAAGACTAATTAATAAAAAAAAATATTGAAAAGAAAAAATCAAAGTGTTTAAATTAAAATAAAAATGTACTAAAGTTTGAAACAAAAACAAAATTCTTTAAAACTTGTTTGACAACAAAAAGATAACAAAAAATAAATATTGACAAAAACAAAAAATAAACAAATTATTAAAGAATAGATGAAGTCACAAGCCCAAAAAACGCGTAATGTACTTAAAACACACACACTTTTAAACAATTATAACAACATAGATGATCAGTGATATAAATGTGGGTTCAAATATATAGTTTTTTTGTTTTTAATCTACGACCTTCAAATCACCATTAAAACTATTTAAAAAAAAAAGAAAAAATCTTACTTTCTGAGGCAGGACGTATACTACGATATGGATTAAAAGGACGTGGAGGTTGCCACCAACGATTTACCCAAGTGGGTACATAATTTGAATACCAAGTTGTCATGTTAATTAATATCAAATGGAAATTTGTAACGGTTTATTTCATATATTTTTTATTTATTTTTTAACACATTTATTATTATTTTATCTAATTTTTGGCATGTAAAATATTTTGTATTTGTTTTTTTTTAAACTTGTTTAATAATGATTTATTTGTATATATATTCTTTTTTAATTTTTATTCACACTCAACAATCTTCCGCTTAAGTTCTACTCTGCCGCGATCGTACTTATTAACTGAATTGTCTAGTACCACAACAATATCTAAGTTCCCTCAATGTTTGAGGGTGTTCCAAAGTTAAACAATAAAAAAAATCTGAGAGAGAGCTAACTTTTGTTTTCATTATAATTAATAAAGTGTGTGTGAGTGCAAGTATAATTAAGTATTTGGCTAATAAGAATCAAAAGAAACGCTAGCAAAAAAAGGGTAATATTACTCATTGATTTAGACAAAACGATCATTGTACTCTTCAGCTGTAAGAGATGTTATCAATAATACAACAATACAATGATGGGAGAGGGCTGTCAGATAGATTTTTTTGTTATTTTCTAATTAAAATATAAAATAACTACTTTAAAAAATAATTAAAAAACTGGCTAAAAATATGAATTTTTAAAATTTGTCTGCAATTTTTTTTTAGGAAGACAACTTTTGATATTAAGGTATATATTAAGCAATAAGTGGAAATATGGGCTCGGAAATTATGATGTGATAACTCAAATAAAAATTATAGAGAAACTATAACATATGTACATATATAAGAAATTTTATATATTTATTATTCCGAAATTAAATGAACTAAACAAATTTCAAAATTTGTTAGTTTTCCACGTTTATATATCTTAATAATAAAAAAATAAAAAGTTACGATCAATATTAATTAGAGTCCAAAATAATTGTCAAGATTGGATTTTTTAAAATCAAGTCAATAGAAAATCATGATCAGGGTGTAAAATTAAAACTCTACATTGAAGTCGATATATGTACATTAGGGTTATAACTTTTGCACAATTTTTGGATATTTAAAATCGGCCCTATCCATTCCACATACAGCATAAAAATATACGTCGAAAAAGTATATTACTTTTTCCCGAGCGTTAAAAAAGTTTTCGATATATATTCTAAACTTAATTTGAATTTTTTAATACAAAACTGGAATTGATGTAAAGTAGTGCCATTGTTTTACCACGACATCTATACGATGAAAACTCAAGAATAGGGACGGCGGTTGACCCCCCTTTCAAAATTAGCTTCTAAAAATTTATATTATACTATTAAAAATTCATGAAAATTTGTTTGTGAATGGTTTTAGAAAATCGATTTACCGCGGAAGGTTTTTGCACCAAAATGACCTGAGAAACAAGTTCGTTATCACAACACTACTGGCTACTACGTAGTGATAAGGCCTAATTTTGGTTATTACCCTAATGTACATATGGCCGATGCTATAAGAGTTACAAATGAAGAAATTGTAGTCGTAATTTTAATCTAATGTTAAGTCAATATAAGACCAAGATCGGTTCCAGAAATGAAGTCAATATAAAGGTATGAAAGGAGAAAGTAGTAAAGTCGACATAAAGTCTTAATTAAGTCAAGATTATAGTAAAATCAGAGCCTGAAGTGAAAATATACATACACCCACCTTAAAGTATACTAATCAGCTCAGAAACACTTTAAATTTGGCACATACTTTCCCCTTGGCCTATTGAAAATGGTTGAAATTCGTTCATTATGTCACCTAGCCCCCATACAACCGTATCCCCCGAATAGGGCTCTTGAGCTCATAATCGGCACAGCTTAGTTGTGTACAGTCTAAATGTTACTACCGATTTTTTCAATTCACCGATTAATTCAATGCAAAGTAAGCCAAAGCATTAAGTTTTTTCAATATTTTTCAGAGAATAATTTTAAAGAATGGAAATGATTTTATCATTTACGAAGATTTTTCATTAAGTTCTGAAAATTAAAAAAGTTTACAAAAACTATACTACTGAGAAAAGACATTTTCTCCCCGATTTACATTATAATTTGTATAAAATACTATAACTATAACTTTCAACAGCTATTAGTATTTGATTCGATTGAAGTAGAATATGAGTAGTTTTAATATTTCGAACACATAACAATTAAATAATATTAAAATCTATAAAATTGCATAAATTTAATTTTTTTTTTTTTTTGCATTTTGACATTTGCCAAAGTTATACTCCCACTAGTTTATACTATTATTTTGTTGTCTGAATTAAATTTAACATTGTTTATTTGCGCTCTTATTTCTCAGTTTAATAACAGCAATTAAAAACACGTATTAAATAATAGGTATAGCGGCTAAAAATAAGGTGCGAATACTGTGCATGAATGAAACCATATTTAAGTAGATATAGTTTCAAATAAATCTTTGTTTACATTAATATAAAATTTATAATTACAAAGTATAAATATTTTAAAAATTACCTACTGCATATTTGTACACATACTAAGAAAAAAATATGTGTAACATTTTCGTTTTCAGATCTTCATTAATGAAAAAAGTTCGTGCTGCCCGTGGCAACACAGCTTTGACCAATTAATCAACAAAAATCTGTTTTGAACTTGATGGCGTCATCGTTAAAAATTACGTCTTGAATACGAAGACGTATGTATTTGTACAATGCAACAACCCAACATTATAAAATTCATTATATACACTAATAATAGTTTTTACTTTTGAGTATTTAATCACTTATTTCGTTGAATAAATTTTGTAGTGTTTGATGACAAATTGTTCGTTCCTTTTTTTTTAAATTCGTCACTTTAATTGTAATTTTTTTATATGAAACATTGCAGACGCCACTTTTATTGTTGGAAGTTCCCAAAAGTATTATGATGATATTTTTGTTTACTTGTGTTTATACATATGTTTATTATTCTGCTAATGAAATCCTTGATTGGAATTTTGTGTTCGGAATCTATAAATGTGCAAAATGTTTGAGTGTCATCGAAGTGTTAACAGAATTCGCCTAATTAACATAAAAACTATTCCAAGTTTAACAAATACATATTGTTAAATACAACGTGCGTGTTTTAAATCGACACGAGTTTAGTTAAATGCAGTAAAAAAACAAGTAAGAAATTATAGTCGGGCGACCATATAATACCCTACACCTGTTACAAAAATAAAATGTGATTTAGTTTTCATGATAAAACATTTAAGTTGAATTGCACCCTGCCTTGAGTTATACTTAAGCCATTTATTGTTGAATAAAATTGTGGACATTTTAGTCAAATTTTGAAGGGAATTTGTATAGGGGCTATGGTCAAATGAGACCCTATAATTATAAAATTCATGCGAGTCATCAAGGCCAGTATAGAACTTGGTTTTGCAGCTTTTTGTCGAGATACGAGTATATTAAACATAATTATAAACTTAAAATCCCTATTCGTCGGGTTCAGTTGTATGGGGTCTAAGTGAAATAATGGACCGATGTTAACCATTTTCAATAAGCTTCGTCTCCGGTATCATAGAAGAACATCTGCCAAATTTCATTGAATTATCTTCAAAACTGCGACCTGTAGTTTGATTAAAAGGTTTACAAGCCCTATTCGGGGGTTCAGTTGTATGGGGGCTAGATGAGAAAATGGACCGATATTAACAATTTTTAATAAGCTTCGTCTCTGGGACAATAGAAGATCATGTGTAAAATTTCATTCAATTATCTTCAAAATTGCGACCTGTAGTTTGATTACAAGGTTTACAAGCCCTATTCGGGGGCTCAGTTGTATGGGGCTAGGTGAAATAATGGACCGATATTAACCATTTTTAATAGGCTTCGTCCCTGGGACAATAGAAGATCATGTGCCAAATTTCATTGAATTATCTTCAAAATTGCGACCTGTAGTTTGATTACAAGGTTTACATGGACGGACGGATAGACGGACGGACATAGCTAAATCGACTCAGAAAATGATTTTAAGCCGATTGGCATACTTTAAGGTGGGTATAGGACCAATATTATTGTGCGTTACAAACATCAGCACAAATCCAATATACCCTCCCCACTAAAGTGGTGTAGGGTATAATAAGAAAACAAAAACAAAAGTACATCAAATGTTTAATTAAGAAGATCACTAAATTAAGATTTAATTTTTTTATTAAAATTAAGCTGATAGGCTATAAAGTTAAAAAAATTTCGAACTTAAATACAAATAAACATTCGAAAAATTGTACATTTCCTAATTTAACACACTATTTAAGGACTAAATGTATGTAGTGAAAAGGTAAGTGAAAAGGTTTCGATCATTTAGGATCCAAGATATATAAAAAACTTCTCTAAAGCATGTTCGATAGAAGTACATATTTAAGATTTGGATCCCGAAGATATGTTCTTCAAATGTTTCTATAAAAAATATATTATTCTCTTTTTTATGATAGTATAATGTTTCTAATACAATGATTAATGTATATCATTTTAATATTATTTGATTATATAGGCATCGTAAAATTAACTAAAACATTTTTATTAGGAATTTTTAAACCTAAGATACCTGTTTTGAAAACGATTCATTGTTATAAAGTGTTTATTAAAAGGAATTTGCCTAAAATGTTTATAATACCTATTTGTACAGGTGTTTTGATTTTAAAATTATAATTTATTTTAATAATTGAAAAAAAAAAAAAACAAGAATTTATAGATAACATGTTTGTATGTGTATCCAAATATTTAACAAATACTATTCGGCAGATTGATTACGTGTGAATAATTGCCTTGAAGTTAAAATTTTTAGTGAATTGAAGAGACAATTGAAAACCTTTAAAAATATCTATATATATATCTATCTATCTATCTATCTATCTATCTATCTATCTATCTATCTATCTATCTATCTATCTATCTATCTATCTATCTATCTATCTATTTCAATAATAACGTTATGTGATTTTAATTAAAGTTTTTAGAGATATTTTAGGAATTTCAACAATGTCATTCATTTTAAAAAACCTACACTAAATAACCTAATGAATAATTTTACAACAGTCTAATGCAATTAATTTCTTTCAAATTTTGCTACTCTAATAATATGTGTAATTTATTTAAAACAATATAAACAATAAATTATTCTTTACAATTTCCTGATTTAAATTTAAAAAACATATGTATGTATTTTTGAAAAAAATCTAATTGAAAAAAAAAAAAACTAATAAAAACTTGTTCATATTTGTACGTATCTCACCTCTTTCATCTGTTTTATAATCCATCATACGTATGGGTGTTTCGGAAATTTCTTGGAAACACATGTTTTTCAAACAATTGCAACATTTCAAATCAATATTTCTTTGGGTTTCCACTAATGAAGACACTTTATTGCCCATAATTATTTATGTGTTTGATTTTATAAATAAATTTTGAAAGATTAGCACGAAAAGGCAATATAAATTGTGTTATTATACAATTTATTTTATTTCAATATTTTATTTTTTAAATTAAAAAAATAATTTTTAATTTCACTTTATTTAAGTACATTCCCGCTTGTTAAACACCTTTAAGTATTTTGCTTAATTTAAACTTCTTTCGTATTATACATTTTTATTTAATCACTTGTCTTTTTTATTTTGTTTTAACGTAAAAATTTATTTATAAACATTTTAATATTTGTTTAATAGAAACCATTTTAAATGAAGTCATGTTATAAATTGAAAAATTAAATATAAAATAAGCATTATCTATCTTTCAGGTTGAATTTCATTTTTTATAGAAACACAAAATTCTATTTAACGTTTTGTTTATTTACATTTGTATGTATATGAGGCATCGCTCGCTGTCTTCATTGAAAGCTTAGGCTTATTTGAGCTTCTTGTTGACCTTGTTCTTCCAAACGATAGCCATTCTAGTTATCACAAACACTATGGGGGGAACGTATGCCAATTGTCAATTATTTATATAGGTATCGTTATATGTATGTCTATTAAATATTTTTGTCTACCAAATACTTTAAGGGTTCTGTTGTAAGCCGTGAGTAATATACTCCTACATACGTAGATTTACGATTTGTTGAAAAATATTATTTGTATTTTATGTAAAATATTACAAGAGTGTAGGAGAACAATCAATAGCAAAGAAAAATTATAACAATTAATACAAATATTCGAAAGAGTTTATTCTCTAATTCCGTTTGTAATTGTTACAATAAAATTTTGCGACTATAAAGTATTTAGTCTGTCTGTCCGTTTGTCGGGATCCAATTCTTAATTAATTCTATCAGCTATGCTTTCTAGATGTTTGCTATTTAATATTAGCTAAATTGATCCATAAACTTTTGATTTTTCCAGAATTATTAACATATATCAGATATATACATAAATGAATAAATTTATTTATTCAATATGAATGTACATACATATGTACATATATCAAAAGAAGGACCTTTCATTTGATATACATTATATACATGTACGTATACATATCAAATGTGTCCAAATTACACAAATTAAAATTAAATAATTCTAAATAGAATTCATTCTTTCTAAGCTCTGAATGTATGAATGTAAAATGTATATACATATAAAATGTATATACTATATTTATATGTTTTTTAAACTTTCCAAATAAAATGCATAATTATACATTTTTTTATACAAAAATTTAAAATAATAGTTTATAATTGACAAAATATTTTTTTGTATAAAAGTCGATATTAATAAAGGTGATCACATTTTTTTGTATAAAAGTCGATATTAATAAAGGTGATCACATTTTTTTTTATTCATTTACTTATTTTTTACCTCTGATGACCCAATTAGAGAAAGATGTATTTGAGATAATTATATTTAAAAATCAGAACGATTTTTATAGCGAATGTAGCACTCAAACTATTTTTAAAGTTAAAATTTTCTCAGCTATTGTAGTGCTCTTGGAGATGTCCTTTATTTAGTTAAATATACATATGTTTATAAATTGATCATATAACGGAACCCAACGCCGTTTATTTTTAAAGTGGCGGCTTAAAATCATCAACGATAACAAACATTTCTTTCTCTTTGTAATTGTTATCGAAAAATATGGTACATTAAATTGCAACCATGGTTTTCGGCTTGCATGTGCCTGTCAACGTAAACAGCTGTATGTTTTTTTTTTGGTAATAATCACAAAAAATAATAAATTGCATGTATTAAATAATTTAGACAAATTTTTATTAATAAAAAACTAAATAAAATGTCCGAAGCATTGGAGCAGCAAACAGATGAACGAGAAGCGTTACAATCTATTTATGAGGGTGACGAGGCTTTTAAAGAAATTAACAGCACCACTTTTCAATACAAGGTTCCACCACTATGCATAATTATAATAACAATAACAACAAAACTAAACATATTTTAAAATATCTTTATATTCTAGTATGGAGAGGAAAACAATTACAAATCATTTTTGGTTGAAATAAAATGGGGTGAAAATTATCCAAATGAATTGCCCACCATAAATATGGATACATTTTACAATAGAAATCTGTAAGTTGTAAATAACATTAAAACTTTAAAACCTAGTGATGACGTTTTCTATTTAAACAATACATTCTAGAGTGGCCCCAGTTAAATTAGCAATTCAGACAGCACTGAAAGAAGAAGCCGAACAGTGGTTAGGTTGTGGCATGACCTACACTCTCTTCGAATGTTTGAAAGAACGTATAGATGAGCTAACAGCAGAACAACCGGAACATGCAGCCGTTCAATCTATAGATTTGGATAAGGTAGGTGTAAGTGCAATACAAATATCAGATAATGCCGAGGCGGCCAAAAAGGAACCGAAAAAAGAACAGCTTACGAAAGCCCAGAAACGTAGACAATGGGAAAGAGCTGATCATAAGGGAGATCGTCCCAGAGGTTGGGATTGGGTGGATATTGTAAAACATTTGTCACAGACAGGCTACAAAGAAGAACAGAATGCGTCAAAGAATACAACGCAACTGTTGCAACCATTAAATAGCTGAAAATATTTTTTATAAAAAATAATGATAGAAATTGCTGAGACTCCAGTTTACTGCCTCAAACTTTATTCACGATATATATTTTTTTGTTAATAAACTTTGTTGAGTACTAATGGAATCAACACTTTTAATAAAGTTTTAGTAAATTGAAATGGTTTTAAAGTTGCACGTAATTAAAATGAATAAAAATTAGAAAATTTTCTGAGAACTTTTCACGGGAAATAACAAGCAATTTACTGTCCCCAAGTAGTTTAAATTGAAGCCAGTACTAGGGCCTGTATCTCTAAATAAGAACGAATATTTTTTGCATATTTTATATTGAAAAGAACAATAAATTTTCGAATTTTTTGTTGCTTTCAATATGATATAGGAAAGAACTTGCACTTGATGCATTAGTGTTATTTGTGTTAAAATGTCCTTAAACTATATTTATTTTTTTACATATCTATGTATGTATGTACATCAAAGCTCTAAAATAATTCATTCCCTAATTATTTTTTTGAAATTGAGTTATATTTTAATAAATTAACAATTCTTTGAACTCATTCCCTTTGGATGTAGTTGAATGAATAAAAATGAAGAGTTGAAATAAAAATAGTTCTCGTCAGTTTAAAAATAAATCTCGTAAAAATTATTTGTATAACGAGAGAAATAAATAAAATTGTACATATTAAGAATACAAAATTACCTACTATCGTAGACAATCACGATTTTTAAAAATCCCAATGTTTAATCTTTCTATTTATTTAAAATTGTTGAAAATTTAAAAATAACTGATTTTAAGCCGTCGCCGTTAATATTTGTCCGCGCAGGTATTCAACCAATTTGAACGGAGTTGCCACTATTTTACAAGCAATTTTTTTGCTTGTAAAATTAAATTTTTCATAGCAGTAGCTGTAATAATGACCATTTTCTGCACAAAAAACGTACGTAAAGAAAGTTTTCTATATAACAGAATATTATACAAAGATTTTCATATAACAAACGCTAATACGGGCAATTCCAGTAGAAAAGTTAATTTGAGACGACAATTAAGCCGCCGCCGGTATTTTCTACAATAAGCCGTCGACAAAATATGGTTGCGTCGCCGCCGCTGAAAATTTTCATCAGCTTGTATCTCTGACCACGAGCGAAGCACGTTGTTTTTGTTTGGATTTATTTTTTAAATTCAATACGATTTTGCTTGTGGTAATAGAATAAATAGAATAAATTATATTCTAAAATGGATACTAACGATAGTGAAAACCTTAAAAATGAATCAACAAGTACTGAAGAACAAAGTCATCGACCTGTAGAGCCTCAGGTAACAACGGACACCAATGGGGCAGAAATTAAAGGTAAAATTGTGATTAATTTTATAATAAACAGAAGAATTGTAAAGAAAGTTAATATTTTACAGAAGAAGAAACTACTGCCACGACAAAAGAAACTATAGAAATATTGCAAGTAGAATTGATTGCTCCTCGAACTGAAGAAGCTGTTGACACTAAAATAGCTAATGAGAAAACAAACAACATCAGCCATGTGGAAGAATGTAGCGAAAAGAAGCAAACCCCACAAGAGCAGGCAACAACAATTCAAAACGAATCTGTCGCCGAGACCAAATCTACTAGCAATGAAATGGAGACAAGTGATGAAAATATACAGACCAGTGAAACAAATGAAGCTAATACTGAAGAAACCACATTTAACACTTTGGAGTCATCAAATCAACAACCAACCACAAGTGGTCTCGGTTTATTAGCTCAATATGATTCCGATAATGAATCTGTAGTAGAAGTTCCAATTGACCAAGATTATCGCAACCAAGTGGTTGAGATTGATTCTGATAGTGATTCGGATGACAGTAGTGATTCGTCAGATGTTGAGTATCTAAGTGAGTTGCGTAAAACAATTGAAAAACGTATGGAAGTTGTCGACGATGACGACGACGAAGATGAAGACAGCAATACTGGCAAAAGAAAGAATACACCAAGATTAAAAGTAAAAGGTGAAATGTTGTTAGAAGATTTACCCCCCATACAAGATTTGCAAATAACAGTGCCCGAAGATGAGTGTATAGAGTTTGGCAAAATTCACTCAGTTGTTGATCAATTGCTTTTGGTTAGTGCTTTACCCAATTCTATTCTCTTAGATTTGGGAACAGTAATATTTTTGGAAAAAGGACAAAAAGTTTTGGGTGAAGTATTCGATGTGTTGGGACAAGTGGCAGATCCTCTATATTGTGTGCGTTTTAATTCAAATAAACAAATCAAAGAGAAACAAATTAACGTAGGTGATGTAGTGTATGTAGCTCCTAAAACCCAATACACACAATATGTGATATTATCCAATTTAATGAAAATAAAGGGTTCCGATGCCTCATGGGAAAATGATGTAGAACCTCCACCGAGATTTTTAGATTATTCCGACGATGAACAAGAACAATTGGCCAGACGTCAGTTACGCAACAAAGACCGGCCTATGGATAATGATGATCCCACCAAAAAACCCAGAACAATGGAAGATGAAGATGCTAGCACAAATAGGTATCAACAGTCGAATAACTCACAAAGGGGTCGCTACAATGAGCAAAGAAATAATAATAGAGGTGGTGGCAATAATAGACCACGCTACAATGCGCCACCTCACCACAATCAACAAAGAACTCCTAATCCTAATCATCATCGCAGCTCTTGGCATTCCAATTACTATCCACAGTCTTATCCACATCAGCCTTCTACAGCTAATTATGGCATGCCACCAGTTCATAATCAGCCACCACCTTCTCAAGCATATCTGCCACATGTACCCATGTATGGTATGCCTCCTATGCATAACATGCCATATCCGCCACCAACACAACCAGCTCAATATGGGGCACCACCCATGTTACACCAACATAATCCTCAGCTAATGCCAAATACATTTAGTATAAGACCTCCTACACTTCATGGACCTCCTCCACCTCATATGGCCCACCATCAACAGTACTCATCAACACCACCTCCACCGCCTGGAAGTCAATAAATCTTTTAAACATACCATTAATCTTTAGCAGATCAAACTAAATTACGCTACTAGAGTGTATTATGACTTGAACTTTTGATTATAAATAAAAATCATAATTCTTTTTGTAAAAAATTGTATTGTTTATATTTTATTGTTATTGGAATTACGTACATAAATATGTATTAAGAGTTATATGGTAGTATATAAATAAATATTTGTGTTTGGTACAAAAAAAGTTGTTTAGTGTATAATTAAGGTGCATATTGGTTTATTATATATATAGAGTAGTATTTATTATTATTCTATTGGAGAATACGGAGGGATGAATGAAGGTTGTTAATTTATTGCTGGGTACACAAATGGCACAACTAAAACTAACTTCTTTTTATTATTTTACCAAGTTTCTAGTACCCAGCGATTGTTGAATATTTCAACATGCTATATGTTTTTACTAAATATTGTTATTATGTATGTTTTTAAGCAATATATTTTGTAACTAATTAAAATCATTAACAATAATACAATAGAGGTTTGCTATAATTTATAAAATCTTACTATTAATCAAACATTTAAAATAATATTAAAAAAAACAAATCTATTTGAACATTAATTATGTTGTAAGTACTTTAAAGTACTCGGTACATACAATTACTATAAATAACTCTTTACTTTTCGTTGACATTTTTTCAATTAAAACATACAGTTTTTTAGTTTATGTACAATTTTACGAAACATTTTAAATTCTATATAAATTTTATTATAAAAAAAAAATAAAATTGAACTTAAGGGTTTTGTGGTTAGTAGTTACATCAAATAACTAGATCAAATATAGTATTGAAATAGTATTTGAACAACAAATATTTCTTTGTAGTAAATAAACTATGACGCAAACTTTTATAGAAAAACTAATTATTGTGTTAATAATACACAAATACATATAATATTAATAATATTCTTGCACAATTATTTATTTTATTTGTAGGCACAGTATTTTGAAGCTAAATTAATTTTGTATACTTGCGTTTTTATTGTTAAACAAATTTCGTTTGATCCAATATTTTGGTTAATTTCTTTCAGTTATTAACATATTTTATTTGTTCTAAAACGTAATATTAGGTTATAGCGGAGAAGGAATTATAGGTAGATGTTTTGGCAAAACTTCTTATTTGGACAAATACCGAAATCATTTTCTAAACATATGTTGTATTTAGAAAATCGGAAGATTTCTTAAAAAAAAAAGAAATTTTTAATCTGTATTTAGGGTCACCTTTATCGGTTGTAATTTCTACATTGGATAGAGAAGAATGCGTAATAGCACAAATTGAATTGACATTACAAAGGACAAACAAGTGTCCAACCATTTAATGGAATTAATGAGAAGTACTGACTATAAGTTATACATTGCAACTTTCAAAATAAGTTATTTTGCCAAAATGGTGGTACTCTACATCTTTCGTAATTATTACGAATTTTAAATGTTGTATATTTTTAAAGTATTACATTAAAAAAAAGATTGTTCGATATTCATAGGTAGCTATTACGAAGATTTATTTGAACTTTTTGTAAAGTGTTCTTTAATTTGTTGACGATCTTTGAGCAAAACTAAAACAACAGTGATATTGTCTTGTGAATCACCTTTTTTGGCTAATTCAATCAAATGTTTGGGTATATCTTCCAAACATTGCTCATCGTCCGCTAGGGACTTATATACACAATCGACAATTTCCTTTTCACTTACATGATCCCAAAGACCATCTGAGCCTAATAGCAAAAAATCATGCGAAGGTTGTAGTGGTACATCTACAATATCAGGTTCGGCTATAACGGCCTTAACGGTATAGTCGCCAATAGAACGTGATACATTGATGATACCATTAACGCGCCATTGACCCTGTACAAATATTACCGAACCACCAGTTTCAGTTGATTCTATGCGTTTCTTTTCATCTGCCGAGTCCGGTTTGTGTGGTTTTACCAATTGTAAGTGCACTGTCGGTGAAACTAAAAGACATCTTGAATCACCCACCCAAGCAACGTATAAATGTTTGAAATTTTCAAGGCCATCCTTTAATAGCAGGGCACAAACTGCTGTTGTGCCACTACTCAATTGTTTCTGGCAGAAATTATGATCAGCTTGCAGAAAACTAGTTTCCAACGCATCTCTATAGCAATCGCTATCGGGAGTAGATGAATTGGGTAGGGAATTCAATTGTTGAGCGACCCGGTAGGGAATTTGGTTAATAGCATATGTGGCAGCTAGAGAGCCAGAGTGACCATCAAAAACGCCATAGAAACTAAGGGATTTTTCAAGTTGATATATATTACTAAATTGTGGCAAACAGATATGACGATCCTCCATTTTGCGGGGTTTATTTTTGACATGTGCTTCTACATATGGTGTGTGGCGGTTTGTAGCGGACTCACTGCAATTGTATAACGTTTCTCGACTACAATCAGCATAATTCTTTAAATTTTCTTCTTTAGAATTGTCACACAATCTCAGAAGAATCTTATCTAACTGCTGTTGTATATATTTTTGTAGCTTTAGCAAATCAAGTAATGTTTGATCAGAGGTGTCTTCGACTTGTTTGCCACCAGAAGCTTTTAAATCTTCTTGGAGCTTTTTGTTTTTTAGTTCTTTATTAATTTCCTCCTCGGCCAAACGTGCAACACCCACTTGAAAGTGTTCCGGACATTTTTTCTCAACGAGCCATTGCCATATACACATGATTATTTCGGCGGACAATTCATCTTTAGCCACTGCATAACTTTCATTATTAGAACGCGTCAATATAAAGGGACGTAATTCAACACCGCCACTACCACCACCATTACATGATACATTTACACCTTCTCTACCTACTAAATCACCGCTGCCTCCTTCATTAGTCACAGCATCTTTCGTCAAATCACGTAAAAATTCTTTAAAATATTTTAAGTGATTACATTGTTTTTCAGCTACATTGCTGCAGCAGCTATTCGTATGTGTCATATCATTTTTAGATTCAATTTTTTCACTCAAAGTGCTGGCCATTTTCAGTTTATATTTTTTTTAATTTTTCAAATATTTTATACACAAATTGTTCAACACATTACATATTTTATTACTGTAATTAAACGCGCTTAACAAACACTATTCGTAATTTGTTTTTCTTTTTTCGATTACTAAAAAATTCTTCTGCATTTAAGCATCTTTTTTTTCATTCAACCAAAACAAACACAGCTCACAGATTAGACAGAGACGTTATCATTGACAGCTGTCAAAAAGTAACCGTATGGTTTTGTTTACATTTTTTTGAAAACCATGAACTAAAGCGAGAGAAAAATTGCCAATTCTATTGGCGGCAATAAATGTTGACATAGTTTTCCTTTTTCAAATTTTTTTCTGAATGTTTTTGTAAAAATATTGCTAAAAAACAAAACGATAACAACCACCAATTAAAACGCCAATGGTAGTTGATGGAAAAAATAACGGCGTTAAATTTTATATCGCCGTTGATTTTAAGTAAATGGCGACTTTGTACGACGCCATGATACCGTTATTTTTATTGTTCATGCAAGTTTGCAAAGTTCTGCGTACAATTAAAAAGAATTGATATAGTGCTTAAAATGTTTAATATTAGTGTTAATTTTAGTGTGAAATGTATATATTTAGTGTTAAATGTGTTTATAATAGTGTATTAAATAACACGTACGTGATCTAATTTCCATTGGGTGAGTTAATTATGAAATTTTCTTTAACTGAGAACATTTCGAAATACATTTTGTTTAAGGCCATCGTTTTAGGTCATAGACAGTGCTTTGAGCAAAAGTACACCATTTTCCTTTATTAGAATATATTCTTTATTTCTATTAATAAAAGAATACAAATGGGAGCTCAAATAGTCAGGTTTATATCTCCATAACAAATTGTCAACGTTTAACATCTGAAGGATGTTTTCTCGCCATTTATAGCATAAATTTATTTCTGTTAGAACTTTTATAAGGTTAGGTAAGCAGGTCGACTTCACATTGTCATCAATTGGGACAAACTTGGGACCAGTATATTGATCCCTTTGTGGTTAAGGTTAAGACTATTGTTAAGGGTCAACTAATTTTTTGTCAGCTGAATATGTGTGTATAATTTAAATAGGAACATCATTCTGACCTATAAATACAGTGCCAGTCTGTTGTCTTACGCCCAATGATATGATATTTCCATGTTAAGTTAATAAGACTAAGGAAATCAGTAGCTAACCCAAACCGGTATAGTAGGAATTGAAAACAGTCTTTATCACTTAGTTATGTGTGGGATATACTTGCAATATTCATACAATATAATCCTGTGCCTCCGATATTTTAATAAAAACATTAGTGCTTATTGAAGTGTTTTGTACAATTTTTATATATTTCATTGTTTTCCATTTTTTAATAATTACATCTTTAAAATTGTTTTACTATTTATATGGATGTGATTACTTGAATGCTCAATTATTATCTACTGCAAAAAAGTGCTTAATTACATCTAATTTACGTTGATACGAAAAAAACAAATTTAAAACAACACTTATTATTTAGTAAAAAGTATAAATATATTTATATTTTACAAACATTTAGATTTTTTTTACTAAAATTTGGAAATTTTTGCTAAAATTTTAGAACGCTCAGATAAAATTCCGATTTTTCACCGAAAATTCATTGATATATAAATTTGTTTTAAATTCAATTGTCGAATTTTAACATTATATTCTAATATTCAAATTTTCCCTAAAATTTAAAATTTTCACTAAAATTTAAAATTTTCACTAAAATTTAAAATTTTCACTAATTTGAACGTTCACAAAACAATTCACTAAAATTTCACACTTTCACTAAAATTTCGAATTTTCACTAAAATTTCGAATTTTCACTAAAATTTCGAATTTTCACTAAAATTTCGCATTTTCACTAAAATTTTAAATTTTTTTTACTGAAATTTAAAATTGTTTGTATAAGTTAGTCATTTCTTTGAAATATTTGTAACCTTCAACCTCCCCTCCCTCCCTCTGATGCGATCAAAGGCAAATTCTAGATCAACTTTTATTTTACTTCAACATTTAACTTTTATTTGACATTTTGATGAATGTGGTATATTTTATAGATTTTTATAATTTTGAATTAAAAAAACAGCTAAAACTAAATATACATAAATGGAAGCACTTACAATTTCGATTTTAAACCAAATAATCTCCACTAAAGATAATTTCTACAAATTTATTTGAAATAATTTTCGTTGTTTTAAGTTGTGAATTGAAACGCTTTCATTTTATTATTTATGATTTTAAAAACATTTTCTTTAAAAACTAAATTCTAAACAACGTTTAAAATAAAACAATATTTAATTTTGTGGTATAAGCAAAAAATTATACATTTCTTTAATATACATTAATGCAAATAATAATGATTTTTACAGTTTTTTTTTCAATCTTATGATATAAATATTTGAGTCTAAGTGCGTTCGTAAATGCAGTAAACTTGTGACTCAATGATTAAATTATTTGTAACTGTTTCACTTCGTTCGATAAACTCTTATCTACAGTAGCACAATATTACTGCATTAAAGAACGTTACTACTATGTTGGGTTTTTGTGTAAGAAAGCTAAACAAAAATATGTGTTAATAATAAACAACTACTATCTTATTGTAATTATTATTTAATGTGTAAATTTGTTATAGCTTTATTTTTATGATTAAATGTTATTTGTTTTGTAAAGGGATGTAAGAAAATAGTTAATTTTAAAACTTCATTCCGATTAAGTTTATAATTATAGTGTAGATTATGAATGACTAAATGCTCATTTAAAGATGTTTTTTATTTTAATATACAACTTTAAAAATTTATAGAGGGAATTTATAATTAAATACAGGTTGTTCTAAATATTTTTATTTTAAATTTTTATTGAAAGCTTAAATTTATTTACTACATAAATTCTTAAATTTACATACATATACTAATATATTGCTCTTAAAATCGTTTTGCTTTCTTTTTTTTAATTAGAAACAGGTTTGGGTTGGGGAATTAATAGGTGTTTTTTTTCAATAAATTGCTATTCAATACTCTCTATACATTTTACACAATTTTTAAGGCAGAAATGTTGCATACAAATTGGAAGTTTTTATTAGAAATTGAACCAAAACAAATGAAATTTCTTAATAGTTAAATAGAAAACTAGACTTTACAATACACACTATACATTTTAACTATATTTTTTTTTCAATTAAATAGATATGTTTTTTATGTATTATAGTTTTATTATTATTACTAACATATTACTGAATTGTGATTAAAAGCAAAATTTAACTAAAATATAAATTTAAAATTTAATGGAATGTATAAATTTTTTAAATTATAATAAAATCGTTTAAAAGTTGTAAGCAACTAATTTGTAAAGTTAAAAAAATGAGATTTATTATTGAGATTACTAAAATGGTCTATAACAAAAACAGTTAAATTAAAAAAGAACGTTTTTTAAACCAAAGTTTCTATTATAGTTATTTTTCAAACTTTTGCATTAATTTTGTTTTAAATAAAATTAATGAAAATTAAAAAAAAAATAGTTAGAAACAAATAGGTAAGATTGTTGCCGTAATTTAATGCAAAAGAAAATATATTCGAATTGTTATTTGAATTACTTCGAAATTATAAAACCAAATTTTGCATTCTTTCACTTTTTAACTGTTTTTATTTTAAATAATAAAAAATTGTACTATGAATTTAAAAATAATTAAATCTATTTTAAATATCAATAATTATAAATCTAATCAAATTATATTACTATAAAATGCTATTTAATATTGTTTGTTTTATATTTAAAATCAATTTAAGATATTTGGTAAATGACATACATACTTACTATATTAGTAGTGTTGATGATAATTCTAGGCATTCCAATTCAAACGATATTCATCTACCATTAGTAAATGTTGTGAGGTCAACCAACCTATAGTTTTTAAACAATTAGAATGTTTTATGTTTTAATTTATTTGAAAATTTTCTTTTAAACAAACTAATTTAGTAAAAAAATCCTTGAAAACTTACCTTCTTGTTGTGCCAAATTATAAAACTCTTGCCATTTACTTTGTACTTCCCAGTATTTTTCCTTAATTTGATTGCGATCTTGTAAATAAGATACGGCAAAGAAATATGCCTTCAATACATCCTGAGGCATTGTATCAAAATGAAAATACACTCCTAGAAACTTTTACTTTCAGCAATAATAAAATGTTCATGAGGATCAAATGAAGAAACAATATTATCAATAATATGACTTTGTTGATACTCATCTATCAAGTGTTTAATGGATAAACCTAAACGTATGTTTAGCGATACGGATACAGTTTGGCCCAAGGTAACTCTTTCCAATTTGTTTACCTACAAGAACAATTATTGAATGATTAAAAGAAAAAATCTTGTAACTAAACTTACTTGTTTTGGTGTTAGCATACGTCCAGATCTAAAGAATTCTTCTAAAGCTATCAAATAACGAGATTCATTGAAAGTTTTTAAACATATAGACTTAATCGCTTTTAAGTTGGCATACAAATGTAATAAAATGACCACTGAAAAAACGCCATAAAGTACTCTAAAAATTATTAAAGAAATTTCTATAACGTTCATGATTTCTTAGCAGAATTTAATGTTTATATAAATACCCTGGAGTTTTAATGGCAGTTAACAAATATAAACCCACAAATGAGGCTATTAGATTTACACAAGTTTCTTGCGAACTATCTTTTGAATTGACATCAGCCAAATTACCACGTACTGCCTGGTGTTGAGTCAAAGCTGCTCTAGTAGCGCCACCTTTAAATAATTGAAACAAAAAACGCTTATTCCTTTCTTTACTTCTTTTTTAAGTTTAGATAAGATTTATTTACCTGCCACTCCTACTATGGCTTTTAAAACAGTTGTCCCACATAAAATTTGTGTACCCAAATGGGTATATTTTGGAAGCACATAAATTTCTATACCCATTGCTAAATCATTTAGAAAATCTGCTCTTAAACGCCACTTTTTACTATCTATATCCAACTGGGCACCTTTCCACCAAGAGAATAATATGCGTCCTAAATGTCCACTACCTTCTTTTAAAATCCATGTTACTGTAGCTGAATAGGCATTTATGTTTTCGTTACCAACTCCGAGACCCTTTAGTATAGCATGTGTGCAGAGAGTACCTGTTTAATATAACATTTATTAAATAAACTTTATTTTATGTTTGTTTTTATACTTAGGTGTTTATTTAATATTAATGATAGAGTGCAGAACAAATAACGTCTGTCATATTATTAACATACTTAATCATACATTTGATTTGTTTTTTAGTAATATCTATGCTCTCTGTGAATGAGAATTGATATTCGAAAATTTTTTTCATATCTTAATAATTTAGTTTAAATTTCTTTATGCTGAAGATTTTTTCATTAATAGTATTTTCAAATCAATCTACATGTTTAAAAATAAGTCAAAATTGTTATCTTTCAGCGGTCATAAATCGTTTGATAAGATTTACATAATAGATTTTGGTATATCTTTTTTGCAAATCGAAACAATCGATTATCGTTAATAATATTTATTCTTTATCAATCAAAAACTTACCGCAAATAGTACTACAAAATGCCTGAACAGTGTCCCAAATTTGATAAGCAGCATAATCATCACTTACACTATCGGGATAACCTTTGGGCAAGAATATTTGCTGGAATAAACGGTATAAAAAGAATTTTTCATGTATAACCGCTTTATTGTCACTCCTTAATGGTACACGGACAATTGATTTTTGTTCTGCAAAAAATTTTTAAAACAACATTTATGACTTGATATATAATTTAATTAAAACACACTTACCGGCTGGTGTAACATAGAGTATTTCTTCACCTCTAGTACCATACTGTTCACGAAAGTGTATTCTCATTCTGGCAAAATTACAAAATATGACAAATCCTCAACGATATTATTGATATTCAACAAAGACCATAAAACAATGTTTAAAGTTGTTTACTAAACTTTAAAACATTTGCTTAGAACTTCCCAGTACGCCCTTAGTTTGGCTAAACACAGAAATTTATTGAATTGCTTTACTTTTTAGTGCCAAGAAAAGAAAATTGTATTGCATGTGTGTTGGACACTTGTGAATTTTATTGCTTAAGCTTTCTGTCTTTTGAAATTTAGTAGATTATTTATTCTATATCTCTCTTTGTTTAAGATCCAATTATTTTTATTAAACACTTGACTTAATGTGGCGTTACTTCTTTAGCTATTGTTTGTTTTCGTTATTTACCACTTCTATTCAAATTTGAACGTCGTTCCCCTTCTCCAGAATGTCTTGTGTTTGATGACTGCCTGTCAGCCTGCTATTAGTTCTTCGTTAATTGCCAATAGTCGTGATGATGATGAAGTTGTTGTTTGTTTGTGAGTAGTGCCACCCTCACCCTTAACAACCAATAAATGTTTTGTCTATCGTATCGGTATGTCTGCCTGTGTGTTATACTTGATGTCCTTGCTGCTGCTATTGTGCTGTCTGTGGTGTTCTCCTGTAATTTTTCCCTAAAAAATTTTACTTATACTCTAATAGAATAATCACTTTTAATATTGTTATAGATTTATATGATATTAATTGACTAGTTAGTTTTATTAAAAAGTTAATTTAAAAAATTCTCACAATCTTTTTTTATAAAAAAACAGTGTAACTGAAAAAATTGTCTAGTAAATTTTCACTTGTTTTGATGGCAACAAATTAGAAATCAAAGTCGGTTGATTGTAAACAATGTGAAGGCGTTATTAAAACAGGGATGTTAGTTTGTGACAGTTTTAGTGTTGCTAAATATCGTATGTAGGAAAAAGCGTTAAAATTGCTAGCTTATGAGAAATTAGTAAAAATTGTAGTTTTAAAATTGTTATTTTCATTAAAAATTTTAATTTTTATCAAAGATACATATTTTTTCCTAATTTCAATTTGATCTTGTAATAATTTTTAAAAATATAGGTATATTTTTTAAGAACTCGATTTTTTGGGGGAAAAATTCGAATTTAAACTAAAATATTAACAAAAATATATTTTTGTTAAAATTTTGATCTTAATATAATTTCGATTTTTTCCTAAAATGTTTAATTTTCACTTAAATTTGAAAAAATTAAAAATTTTAATAAATCTTAAATGTTTAAAAAATTTTGAATTTTAATTAAACATTGAATCTAAAGTCTGAGTACTTCAAGAATTCAAATACATTCGAAAATTCAATAAAATTTTGTATTTTCTTCTCTAAGACCTAATGTTTAGGTTTGTTGCAAATAAAACATACAACATACAATCAAACGAATTTAGTTTGAAACATAAAGTAAACATTTTGCGGTATAAATAGCCACTGCTTTGAACATTCCAAAGAATATTGTTTACATAACATTCCATTCAAAACTTTCTATAGAAACCGTTTTTTAATGTTGACACAAATAAGATATGTATGTACGAATAAAAAATGCATTTTTCTTTAAATAGGGTCATTTTAACATAGCAATTTATGTTGCAGTCAATAACAAGAGCTGCAAGGAATAAAACCATAATTTTTCTGGAAAAATGTTTAATACTGAACATTTTGAAATGAAATTTAATTCTTTAAATGGGACTAAAGGTTCAACAATTGGGAAATCTACAATTGTGGCTCATCGTTTATCGGTGCATTTTCAAAATATCTTAACACCAACAAAAAGTCCACAAAAAGTAACGTATAAAATTCAATAATTCTCTTACAATAAGCATAATTTTAAACATTTTAGTATTTGGAAGCTATTAATCATCATTTAGCGGTATATCGTGAAATGTTAATCAACATAGGCCAGGAAAAAGATTGTCCAGAGTTACGTGAAAAAATACGTAAATTAAGATGTACAATTCTAGAAGAATGTCAAATTACGGCACAACTTTTAATACCTTTGGATAAATCTAACTCCATTGAACTTAATCACGAGTATGAACTTAATAAACATTATTTAGTATTATTATTTCAATTATTGGAATTGTTTTTACGTGAATTAACTAAAAGTTATCGTCTAAATCAAGTTATAACCATGGATATGGAAGAATATTTTGGTAATTTTTATTAAGTGTAAAAAAGTGTTAAGAATTCTTATTTTGAATTAAAAATTTAAAACTACAGAAAATCGTGCTGGACCCTCTAATCTAGGAAATGTTATCAGTGAACTTTTGTTATGCAAAGAAATCACTCCCGATTTTAATTTAGAAGAATTATCTAGCATTATACTGGATACTAAAGAAATATCCTCATTGTTAAAAGAAATTGAAGAGTTTGTGCCACAAGGTGAGTGATATTTAAAGCTATGTTACATTCACATCTATTAAATAGTTGACAAAATTGCAGTCACATCACAGAAATCATTTAAGATCAAAAAAAAAAAAAAAAAAAATACCTGTTTTTAGTCATGTATTTAATAGATGTGAATGTGTTTTGAATTAGCTTTAACTAATTGGTTTTAAAAATCTTATATTAAATTCTAGAATTCAATTCTAACGTCGATATTCATAATGTTTGGCCCTTAAAACGTAAGCGTAAATTATTTTGTTGTGGTTCTCAATCTAATTACTAAAAAAATCATAAATGTTATATTCAATAAAATGTTAAATTCTGTTATAAAAAATTGAACAAACTGCATTTTTTTATTCCAAGAGTGTCTTCAGTTTTCCTCTGTAAATATTTCACCCGAATTTGCACATAAATTTATATATGTTTTACTCCTGCCAACACCCCAACGGGAACAGCGACCAGTAGGTTTTCCTACTTTATAAATAATGCCTCCCATGTCGAAATCATAAGTACAAACTGTGTAATAACAGTATTTAAAGGACATCTCTTTGCTTATATGAAATAAAAAACTTTATAAATTATTTATTATCTTAATATCTAAGACATACCTGTCTAAACAGTCGGCTCCTAGGGCTACTGCACAACCTACACGTGAAACCTGATCATTTATTATAGTTGTAAATTGTTTAGCAACTTCATGACTTGAAAAATAATAAATTTTAACGTTTCTTTTTTAATTTAAATTAAATATTTAAACCTACTCCTCCACAAACTCCTTGGGCATTTCGGTAGGATTTTCTATATTATTCTTTTCATCAAACATTTTACGCAATGCCAAAGAAATAATTTCTAATACCGGTTTGGGTTCATTTAAGGCGGTTACCTCCTTTTTAGAAATAAACGAAAATATTTCGAAGCAATTTTTCCTTTTTAATTAAACCCTAACTTACCAAATTTTGTGCAACTTTTGGAAAACGCAAAGTGCTGCTACATGTTGTCACTCCCGCATTTACCAGTTTTGAGCGAAAATGTGACAAATAACTCAATTCACTATCCCATATTAATTCACGCATTCTAACGGCCATGGGAAAAAAGATTTTATTTAAACTATTTTTTGCCCAACCACCGGCTGTACGATTACGATAATAATTATGCCAATTTATAAAAGCTGTCTTTACTTTTCTTGTTAAGGGTACATGGGCCAAAAATTCTTTGGATATGTAGGAAGGCTAAAATTTTTAATTATGTAAATTTTGCGTTTGTTAAACTTAAAATACTTACATTGGTTATGGAATTTTTGGCATCACAAATTAAGTGTGTCTTGCCAGTTCCACATAACTTATTTTCAATATCAGCTTGACAATATTCCCAGGCTAAACAGGTGTTTAAAATGATTAATAGCAGAAACACAGGTTTTTGAATTTTCATAATGTTTTTTTATTATTTGTTTTAACATTTTGTCAAAAAGTTCTTTGTAATTTTATTAATTAAAAAGTTTCTTAAATATTTTCACCTCATAGACATTCGAATTTCAAAAAAGTATTGTCTGTACTGTAGTCTAGTCTATAGTCTATTCTATAGTTTGGATTATACTCTAGTCTATAGTATATTCTATAGTCTGGATTATACTCTAGTCTATAGTCTATTCTATAGTCTGGACTATAGACTATTCTATAGTCTGGATTATATTCTAGTCTATAGTCTATTCTATAGTCTATTCTATAGTCTGGACTATAGCCTTGTCTATAGTCTAGTCTATAGTCCGGACTATAGTCTAGTCTATAGTCTGAACTATAGTCTAGTCTATAGTCTGGACTATAGTGTAGTCTATAGTCTGGACTATAGTCTATAGACTAGACTATAGTCTGGACTATAGTCTATATACTAGACTATAGTCTGGACTATAGTCAATAAACTAGACTATAGTCTGGACTATAGTCTAGTCTATAAACTGGACTATAGTCTATAGACTAGACTATAGTCTGGACTATAGTCTAGTCTATAGTCTGGACTATAGTCTAGTCTATAGTTTGGACTATAGTCTAGTCTATATAGTCTGGACTATAGTCTAGTCTATAGTCTGGACTACAGTCTAGTCTATAGTCTGGACTATAGTCTGTTCTATAGTCTGGACTATAGTCTGTTCTATAGTCTGGGCTATAGTCTAGTCTATAATCCAGACTATAGTCTAGCCTATAGTCTGGACTATAGTCTAGTCTATAGTCTGGACTATAGTCTAGTCAATAGTCTGGACTATAGTCTAGTCTATAGTCTGGACTATAGTCTAGTCTATAGTCTGGACTATAGTCTAGCCTATAGTCTGGACTATAGTCTAGTCTATAGTCTGGACTATTGTCTAGTCTATAGTCTGGGACTATAGTCTAGTCTATAGTCTGGACTATAGTCTAGTCTATAGTCTGGACTATAGTCTAGTCTATAGTCTGGACTATAGTCTAGTCTATAGTCTGGACTATAGTCTAGTCTATAGTCTGGACTATAGTCTAGTCTATTCTATAGTCTGGATTATACTCTAGTCTATAGTCTATTCTATAGTCTGTACTATAGTCCAGACTATAGACTAACTATAGCCCAGACTATAGACTAGACTATAGCCTAGACTATTGACTAGACTATAGTCCAGACTATAGACTAGGACTATAGTCCAGACTATAGACTAGACTATAGCCTAGACTATAGACTAGACTATTAGCCTAGACTATAGACTAGACTATAGCCTAGACTATAGTCCAGACTATAGCCTACTAGTCCAGTAGTCAATAGTCTAGGTATAGTCTAATAGTCTAGGGCTATAGTTCTAGTCTATATGGACTACAGTTAGTCTATAGTCTGGACTATAGTCTAGTCTATAGTCTGGACTATAGTCTAGTCTATAGTCTGGACTATAGTCTAGTCTATAGTCTGGACTATAGTCTAGTCTATAGTCTGGACTATAGACTAGTCTATAGTCTGGACTGTAATCTAGTCTATAGTCTGGACTATAGTCTAGTTCATAGTCTGGTCTATAGTCTAGTCTATAGTCTGTGCTATAGTCTAGTCTATAGCCTGGATTATAGTCTAATCCATAGCCTGGAATACAGTCTAGTCTATAATCTGGACTATAGTCTAGTCTATAGTCTGGACTATAGTCTTAATCCGAATTATTTAGAATAGAAGAAGATACATTTATAATTGTTCTTGTATCAATATGCCCCTAAATATCAGGTTTAGCTGTTTAGTCTGGATTATAAAATTTTTGTTCGATATGGGGGTAATTTTCTGTTACTTGTAATCGTGTTTTTAAAAAAAAGTACCTTGTGGTCAACAAGTCATTGAACTAATCTATTTATCAAAAAATTTAATTTCTTTTTAAAAACTATCCACGGTAACCAACAGTTTCATATAAAACCGAACTGTGCTATAATTTCCTAGTAAAACCACTCTGTATTTAAATTAAATTCCAAATATTAAAACCACATTTGTGATTTAATTTAAGATACTTCAACACAACAAAATTTTATGTTTTATTTTTTAAGTTATGTTTTTTTTTCTAAAAAATCAAACACATCTTCCATTTATTTTTGAAATAATAAATTTTATTAATAATAAAAAAATAAACTTAATAAAAAAATGGGCAGAGTTGTTTATAAAATTTTTAGAAGAACTCATATTAAAGATAATTATTATTTTTTAAATAAATGTGTATTTAAAATCAATATAAAACATTTGATTTTCACAGAAAATCAATACAATGAACAAATATTTTTGAGCTTTCATTAAGATTAGAAAAAGATCTATTTTAAACAAAATTTAAAAAGAAATTAATTATAAAATGTTTTGCTTATATTTCTTTAACTATGTTTAAGTACAATTTAAAAACAAATTTATTTGTTTAATAGTTTGAGCATAATTTGAAGTTTGATGTTTGTTTTGGAAACAAATCTTTTTAACTTTTAACAAAACATATTATTTTTTAAGTTTCTTTTGTGTGTGTGTGTATGTTTAAAATAACATCTTTTTAGTTAAGCTAAGAATTTTTTGTCAGTTTTCTTTACTTTTTTTCATTTTTAAGTATTAATTATACTATAAAATACAAGTTACAAGTACAAAGATATACAATATATATCTATATATATATTTTTGTATACGTATAGTATATAATCCATATTAATATCATACAATTTTAATTTTTAAAGCAATAGTCTTTTTTGTTTGTTTTTTTTTTTTTACTTATACAATAAATTTCGTTTAAAAATAGTTCAGTCAAAGTGAGACCATTTTAATATATGGCCTGGTCCACAAAGTGGATTAACAAATTTTTAAACTAAACTTAATAAAGAGAAATTTTTCAAAATTTTTTTTTCTACAGAAAATTTGTTTAAAACAATTTGAAGAATTTTCTTAAAAATTTGGTTTAGTCTTTGTTAAGCCAGTTAAGCAAACCAATCATATATGGCTCTGGGTAACTGAAAACGTATTTCAATTTTCTTTCTTTATACAAATTTTGTTTTGTTTTTGTAATTATACCAAATATAGTTTAACTTAAACCTAAACTTAATCATGAAGAGGGCGCTTAAAACTTAAAGATTCTCTTAAAAAACTTAAAAATTAAAAACGAAAAACACCAAACCAAATACCAAAATATTAACTTTTATGGTGGGTGGTGGGTGGTTGTATGGTGATGAGTGGCGCTGGATAATATGATGAAAGATTTAGGAAGGAATAACAACAACTAAAGTTGTTGTTACAGTATGTTTGTGTGTTGTAGAGTTGACTGCTGGTTAATGTGGTGTTGTTGATGGTTTTAATATTTTGGAGGTTTAGATTTAAATGGCGTTTTGGTTGAGGAATCATATATGATTTGATGAAGAGGCTGAAAGCTGCTCTAGACGGGCACACAGTTCGGTAGCTAAACGCATTTGTGTGGCAGCTGCAGCAGCACAGGAGGCGGAGGCATTGGTAATGGTAGCAGTATTAGATGTAGGTTGATTAAAATGCATAGCTGCTTCTGGATAACTGGGACAAACACCCAACCAACGAGCTTTACCACAAGTATGAGACTGTAAATACAAAAAAGAAAACAAATTAATAAATAAAAATTCAATTTGAAACAGAGTTTGAAATTTCCAAACTTGGTTTTTAAAACTTACCATGGTAAAATCACGTTTCCATTGAACACCGCATTGACCGTCACATAGAGGGCAGGGACGTTCAATACTGTAACCACCGCATTCACTGCAATCCAAAGAGACATGATCATCGGTCCACGATACACCACAGGTGAAACAGGAACCAATATGTTGTCTCAATTCTTCAATGGTTAAAACATTATCCACTGAAATTTCCAAAGGGCTGCCAACTAAATCAGACAATGATGATGACATGCTGATACTGCTGCGACTAAAATGATAATAATAAAAAAAAGCGTTCATTAATTATTTGCAACTAATTTAAAATTTATTATTTTGTATTAAAATATTAATTTACAAATAAGGGGAAACTTGAGAACAAAATTTACTATTACTACTTAAAGAAACGTGTGACGTTAATAGAAATTTACGCTTAATAAATTTATTATCAATTTTTCTGCTGTACTTTATGTACGTAACAAAAAAATCAATCAATGAATCGAGCACAAAAAAATATTAAATTAATCTTATCAGTTTGCCAGGAAACAAGAAAAAAACTAGGGGAGTAAAATATGGGAAAACCCAAAATGATTGTTGAAAAATCATTCATTTTTAATCTAGTAAATTCGTTTAATAATTTTATTTAAATTTTACAAATTAAAATTTGTAAGAATCGTGAGTCAATGTTAAGGGAAATAATTAATTAGAAATTAATTTGTGTTAAGACACACAAATGTGTCACTCTGTTTTCGATATATAGATTGAGTGACAAAGAAGTTATTTTTGGGGTTTTTAATAAATTTTTGGAAGAAAACTGATAATTGATGAGTAGAAGTAATAGTAGCAATTGTACCTTGTACTTCCACCAAATTTCATTCAAAATACTTTTATAAACTTATTTTTAAAACACTTAACTTCACACTTTCGTACAATTTATTAAAATTTTTTAAATATTTGTTTTCAAATAGAATTTATGTGAGTTAAAGTGTTTGTTATTCTATAGTTTTCAACTTACCCCAATGAACTGCAAATATCAGTGAATTGAGGACCATGTACACTTGCCAAAGACATTGTTGTTGATGGTACTAAAAGTAAAAGATAAAAAAATCGTAAATTAGTAAAATATTTTTAAAATTTTTTTGAAATATTAAAGTTGTATATAATTGAAAATGTTTTTTTTTTTCTTTTTTACACTTAATTACGAGTTTGGCCTTTATTTTGTTTCTTTTTTTATATACGTTTAATTTTCTTAATTTTATTTTTAAAATGTCACATTCAATTTATTTTTATATTTCTTTTTTTTTTTTTGTTATACAATTGCGTTTTAAATTTAACCAATACCTTTAAACAAGAGTATAAAAATAAAATAATTTTATTTGAAAAATATGGTTTGAAATTAACAAATGCAATATAAATATGATATATTTGAAAATTAATAAGCTGACAATATCAAATTTGTTAATTAAACAAATGTTAAAGGTTTATAAGAGGTTTAATTTTTGAAACAGAGAATTTTTAAGTAAAATACAAAATTTTGTTAAAATTTAAATGTAATCTTGAAACAAAAGTGACCCAAATAATCAAAACAAAGAAGAATTTTAAATATTAAAGTTTTGCTTTTGCGAAAAAGCTGAATAATAACATATTGAATAAAACATTTAAAGGATTTTTAAAATTTTTAACAACATTTAAAAGTTGTTATGTAAATTAATTAAAAATATAGACAGACAAATTTTTACATTTAACTGTAAAGTTTTTTACAATATTGAAAATATGATTCATTTGAATCGGCTATTATTTGACTCACACTTTTCAAGGAAACACTTGTATTTTTTACACTTTCAATTAAAGTTGAGATTTTTTTTGGAAAAAGACCTTTTAACTGTTATTATTTCTAAATAAATTTCTAGACATTTCGTTTTTTGCATATTAATGTTTTTTATTTAAATATTTTGAAACCATATTTAAATATGCAAAAAATCCATAAATATAAAACCAGCTTTTTAAATAGTTAAACAGCTTGTCTTTTGCTTGCTTTGTTGTATTAATATTTCTCCTCTTTCTTATTAACAATTTATTACTTAGTTTTTTGCCAGGGTTTTAAATTTCTTATAATAACATGAATCATTAGATTTAAAGCTTTGGATTGAACTGGTTTTGTGTGTTAAAAATAAAATATATTAAACCGTTTTTATAAGGTTAATTTAACCTCCAGTTTGGTATTTCTTTTTATTTTAAATAGGAAATAATATAATACATAATAATAATAAAAAAAGAAAGAAATGTATGTACAAATTTTTAAAAGGAAGTTAAAAAAAAAACTAAATAAAGAAAAGCCAATTGCAGTTGAATTGCTAGTATTCACTGTTAAAAAAGTTTTATTGTGTATACAAAAATATGTTAATTAAAAATGTCTATAAATAAAAACCCCACGTTAATAAAATCTCAAACTTTATTAGAATTTTGCTAAAAATCCCCTTGACGTTTAAAGAAATGTGGAATTTTGTATTGTTATTATATAAAGTACTATTTGTTTACAATTTAAGATGTCTTTTTTCTAAAAAAACCCGCTTTTTAAAAGTTTATTCAGGTTTTAATAAAGATATGGGTAAAACCCCAGGTTTGATGACCAGTATTTTCAAACTTTTTTTTAACACAATTTTCTTTATTATTGAACATTTTCCCCTCCCTAGTTGAAGAATACTTGATTAATGCATCTATACACTGCAAGTAATAATAGTCATACAAATGTTTTCATATGTATAGAGTATGTATTTATTTATGTAGAAGTCTTTGTGTATATAAAAAAACCAGATATTATTTGTTAATTGCAGTTACATTCAATGATAAACATCATGCAACCAGTTGTGTGGCCGCATTGTTTACAAAAAATAGCAGGGGAACAGTGTTGCCCGCATAAACCAGTAATTGCAATTAGTTTTTTTCCCTCTAAGAATCCAAAAGTATTTATATAAAGTCGTTTTAATCCAACAGCTGTTTATTGTTTGGGAAAATATAAAGTAACTGTCAAATTCTATTCATAAAACAACAATAATGCATTTGCAAAAGAACTTTGACATGTTTTGGGTTTCTTCTCTTCTTTCTTTTCTACTAATACTAATTTGTAAGTTACCGTTGAATGCACTTAATATCATGATTGTTTACATTTTGTGCCGTTAAGAATCTGGCATCTCCTACAAAAGCAATAATAATAATTTTACACAGAAAAAAGTGTTATAAAAATAAATTAGTTTTTTTATTATTACAACTCATTATTAAAGTATACTAAATAAAAAAAAAACTAAAAAACCCAATTAAAAATAACACATATTGAAAATTTTACAAAAAATTGATAGTTTACAAGTAATTTTCAACAGGAAAAGGAGAAAAAATTTTACAACATTCGATTTTTGTCTCCATAAATGGTTAAAAATATTTGCAATGTCAAATATATATTTTTTTAAATTTTAGCAAAAGTTTGTGTGTAATTTACAAAATATAAAAAAAATTTCAAGAATTTTTAAAAAGTTAAAACGAAATAAATTAATGCATTCCTACACGTTCTAAATATTAAGATATAATATTTGCAAACATTGACCTAGCAAATATTAGAACAAATTCTATATTCTAGTAGGTAATTATGGTAAATTACACTTTCATACCTCAACTAATGTCATAAATCAAAATTTTTAGCATTTAATAGAAATCATCTCAATTTTTAAAGAAAAATTTTTAAAATACAACACGCTATATATAATTTTATAAATGCTAAATCTTAAACATGCATCTAAAACTGTACTCATTTTCTTAGCAAAGTTGCAATTTAGTTATTTTTATTACAATGTAAAATTATAAAATGACAAATAGAAAATTTTATAGCTATAAATAAACCCACCAGACAATTGGCCTTGATATAAGTAACTACATATAATTTTAAATATACAGATTTATAATAGAAAATTTTTAAAATAAAACTTACTTTTTTTAGATTTTCTTTATAAAGTTGTTAAAAACCGCAAAGTATTGCTATAGATATTTTTCCAAGTTAAATAAAATGTCACTTTTATTTTTAAGCACTTTTTCTTGTTCAAGTTTTAGTTTTTTTGAATTTTTTAAAAAATTTGAAATTTTCAAAATTTTTTCTTTTAATATTGTTGGCAAATATTTTCAATAAATTTGTATTATTTGCATTAAATTTTTCTATAAACTATGCAAAATATATTGTTTTACTAAAAAACTTTTTTTTTTTTTTCAATAAAATTTAAAGTTTTTTCTAGATTTTTGTTTTTATAACTGTATTCACAATATAAATAAACCGAACAGAGTTTTTTTAAAGACTTTTTTCAGGTTTCTTAGTTTGTTTTGATTTCAATTTTATTTTAAGTTTTAGGTTTGCTGTTCCGTATTCCGTATATTTTGATTAAAAAAATTTCCTTTTACTTTAGGAGGAGTTCTGACAGCCACGACTAAATTCAATAAACTGAAAATGTTTAAGGCGAGACATCCACTTTTATGAGCGTTTCACATTCACACAAAACAATTTGCAAGTTTGTTTTTGTATGTAGTGTTGTTGTGTATCTTGTGGGTATGGGATTTTTTGTATAGAGAGGGAAAGACTATTCGCCGTCTCCTCTCACAGTGTATTATTTTGTATTTAATAATGTTACGTTGTTATTGTTGTTATATTGCCTTTTGTTGTTATTGTTATACTAAATACAGAAGGCAAAAAATAAAAAAAAATAAAAAAAAGTATCTCAAGTGTATAAGTGAGTTTTGAGATACAGTATGTAGTTATATTATACTCATTTAAACCTAAGTGTTGCCAATTATTTAGGAAGATTTTAAAATTTATTATAATTTTTTTTTATTAAAATTGCTATTAAAAATATTAATTTTTTAAAATATACTAACACATTTACTTAAAAAATGCTAAATTTTGTAAAGACATTTCTGCAGACTATGTTTAAACATTGACAACACTTTATCACTCTCCTACTCATACATAGTTAACACAATCATATGTATGATTGTGTGTTCACACTTGCACAGCTACCTACTTTCATACATATTCGTATGTATGAACATACGTACGTACGTACATGCAGATAAGTAAAGTAAGTCATCGTATGACAAGTCATAATAATAACAACAAATTCGCTATACCCATAAAATACAAAAAAAAAAAGCAATAGCAATAATAACAGCAACAATAACAACAAGCCGCCAGTTGTCGCCTCAAATCAATTTATAATGCAATATACTAACAGGCAGGCATCAAATAAAAGGCAAAGAGGCAAACTAACAACATTCATGCAGTTTTCAAAAGCAAAATAAAGAAAAACTAAAAAAATCAAAAACAAATTTACAACAACTATTCGATCAAAAGACAATATAATTATATTGTTAAGTGTGTGTGTTTGTGTGCGTTGTCGTTACCTTTTGAATGACTTGTTCGTTTAGTTTTTATAAAAAGCAACAAAAAAGAAATACTACACACTTATGCACACCTTTTACCCCCCTTTAATTTTAGCGGGAACGGAAATAGTTACGTTTATTTTCTTTGCAAAAAAAGAAGAAAAATATTGTGTTGATTTTTCCGTCTGGCAGTTTTAATTACAGCTGCCAGATTGGAGGATTTTTTTGTTTGTTTTGACAATTGTTTGTGTCAATATCCTAGAGGGAAGAGAATTAGTTTCTCATCTGGTGTTTTGTCGGCAGGTTCTAGATTGATCTATAGTAGCATATTCACGTAGACACACCTGTCCGAAGCCAGTCTTTAAGGTTTTGTAAAATATTTTGACACCAAAAGAACTGATGCCACACTCGTCCAGAGACTGGTTTATTGAAGATAGGTTCCATATTTATTATTAAGGAAACAAAAAATAACTTATTTCTCCCTTTCCCAATCCCTCAATTGTAAGGTTTAGGTTGTTGGTAGCAGTGTCGATAACCTAGTTAGTGGTACATACATAAGATACATATTTTCTAGTTTACGTTTGCGATTATTGCATGCATGATCCATTTATTTAAGTTCTTGATCGTTGAAGAAAGACAAATCTTAAGACCAAAGATGTCCAGAAATGTC